GAAAAATAAAAATAGAATTTAAACCATTCAGGTGTCATTATTTCCAGTTTAAGGACAAGGAGAATAGCACTAAATGTTAAGTTGAAGTATATAAATTTGAATTTAAGACATTAAGCTGATAAATTTTCGAAGATAAACTTTTATCACCTGGTGCAAAAAGGTATGTGTCAAAAAACTTATAACTTGTACAAAACCCCTATACAAATTATAATTTGTACAAACTTGCATCTTGTACACAACATATATATTATATACTTTAATCCTTTCTATTACATGCATACGTCAAATTAAACATTGAAGAACAATGGAACGAATACAGGGATGTGCTCATTTTCTGGTTGTCATTTTAAGATCATTTCGCAAAAGCGTCAATAATTTGCCGCCGTCACATCCACACATTTTTGTAATCTTGTTCACTCAAACTTTTATAAAAAAGAAATGAAACTGGACCATCAGCCATGGTGTATTTCCGTTAAGATTTATAACAAAATTATTATGACCCCAATCACCAACATGGTCGTTGTTACTATAAATAGATCGACATGAGAATAAAGCACCATCTTGATATAGTGCTTTCTGAATTATAGAGCCTATTAATCATATGTTCCGCTCGTCACTTAACTTTGATCAGAACATCACAAACAGGGGCAACTAAGATGTTTTCGTTTCAAATTTATATCCCACGAAGCACTTTCACGATATTCGTTCAAAAAGGTCCCCTAAATGAATTGGAACCAAACAGGCGCGTATACAGAATTTTGAATAGGGACCCTGGCAAGCCAACGTTTGGAGTAATACTTGTTAAAAGTATATAGATACAAATATGAAGCTCTATAATGGGGGGGGGGGGGGGGGGGGTGGCCAAACAGGATAAAGTCATATATGGTGTGTCTGATCAAAATTCAATGTTTATGATGGCTAACCAAAGACTAGCATATTCTTTTCTATACAGTTATATAGCCTATGTGGAATCGAATATCAGTAAAATAAAAGAACATTCACTGCTTCAGTGCTTGAGTCAATATTATATCGTTTTTCACTTACATTGTATGATGTTTTTTAAGTATAAATTTTTCATTTCACCCCAAATAAAAACATTGAATTACAATGAAAAAGAAATTTTAAATTTCTTTAATTTTATCATAGCATGATATTATCCGTATCGAATCGGTTTTCTAATAATTTAAAGTAAAACTAATATAGTTTTAAAGTATAAAGAAATTCGTTGGACCATACATAAATGTATTTTAAACGTACGACCACATTTCAAATTAGAATAAGCAAAATAATGATTCATAGTTTAACACTTTTAATTCACTGTATTTTTGTATTATTTATTACACATAAAACTCATCCCTTTTGTAAAGTAAGATGACTTGGGTGACTTGCCACGGTAAGGTTGTATTATATTTTATCTTTCTTTTCTTTTTCTTTTTGAGGACACATTATGTAACGTTGAAGGCTATTATATTCCTTGTTGAAATCTTAATATCACATTATATCGCAATTGCACGTACTGATCCCAACCATTAAATATTTTTGCTGCACCTAAATGGTATTTTTGTATACGCTTTGAGACAGGGGTGCACTCGAACTAAGTCACATCAAACATTGACTCTCTAGTGAGTATGTCACACCTATACTAGTATTCGTCTATCAAAAAGGGAATATAAATTGAACATGCATCCACGTTTATATTTTCAATTTCTAAAGTCATTGTGAACTATCTTTTTTTAATATATGTACATGTATGGAGAGGATCCAATATTTAAACAATGGTTTTACTCCTTCACAGTGGTTACTGATTATCGCGGAAGACTTATGTTGCATCGAACATCTTTCATATTTTCATTGTGCTGTTCGGCTTCAGTCTCACGTATTTCCCAAATATCCTTCTATTTATTCCAAAAAGGAACTGATGTTACTCTGTTTTGGTCTATCTCTGTTTTAATGTCTTCATTTTATTACATGAAGCATACTGGGTGAAAATCATTTTTTTTTATTGTTACGAAAGTCTCAAACATTCTTCGTAACAAAACCCATCTTCTATCCTGAGAGTATCCAGGATATGTAAATTGGTCACCATTGCTCAGTCTGAGGAGTTTACAGAAACTGCATCGCAAGGGGCATGCGGTTAGATGTGTAGGATGTATAAATACACAGTCATGTTCAGTTTAAAGGGGGCGTTAAATCTGAAACCTCGTGCCAGGAAAGTGCCATGATGTATGCCAAAAAAAGAAAAACAACCTTGCAACAACTCTTGTTGCAGCATTATATACTTGAGTGTGTACACACAGCAATGAAGTAATTTTTTCTTGTTGGCTAAATGAAACACAAATTCAATATTTCCTTGTGTTAACACCAATATTGAAAGAGTAACAAATATTATAATAGGCCAATTAAATCAAATTACAATAACAAAAGGACGATGTATAATGTGTAAAGGTGGAGTAACAATTGAAATCAATAAGAAGCACCAACAGATAAACCCAGAAAAAGACAATTGAGAATGGAAATGGGGAATGTGTCAAAGAGACAACATCCCGACCATAGAGCAGACAATTGCCGAAGGCCACCAATGGGTCTTCAATGCAGCGAGAATCTCCCGTACCCGGAGGCGTCCTTCAGCTGGCCCCTAAACAAATATGTATGCTAGTTCAGTGATAATGGACGTCATACTAAACTCCAAATTATACACAAGAAACTAAAATTAAAAATGATACAAGACTAACAAAGGCCAGAGGCTCCTGACTTGGGACAGGCGCAAAAATGCGGCGGGGTTAAACATGTTTTTTGAGATCTCTATGTGGATTTTATTAGAAAGGAGCAAAGACTGGCGTCCAGAATAAGACAATTTTAGTATATATGTACTTTAAAATGAAAGCAACACTTTATATAATTTAGTCGCATAGGCTGAAAAGGGAGGTGGAGATGCAAGGGGGGCAATCGACAAACCCCAGCCCACTCTCTGTCACACATTTTTGACAGTCGGTGAAAAAGTTGTACATTTAGATATAGAATCGTATCATATAAAAATAAGAAGATGTGTGATTGCCAATGAGACAAATCTCCACAAGAGACCAAATGACACAGAAATTAACAACTATAGGTCACCGTAAGGCCTTCAGCAATTAGTAAAACCCATACCGCATAGTTAGCTATAAAAGGCCACGAAATGACAAATGTAAAACAATTCAAACGACAAAACTAATGGCCCGATTTACGTACAAAATAATGAACGAAAACAAATATGTTATACACCAACAAACTACACCCACTCATAACGTGTTTTTATGTTTCTGTCAAGTGATGTAAGTAAAAAAGAAAAAAACGCCGACATTAAATCATAAATTTTCATTTAAAGTTTGCATTATTTTGATATCATTTGTTTCTGTTATATTAAATAGTAAAACCTACTTATTTGATTATTTTGTAATATGAACAATTAATCACTCATTTCACGGTTAATTGGCCACCATCTTGATACATAATACAAATAGTAAATAATACAACGTAGTACGGGACATTCAATGTCACCTGTTTATTAATAAATAATATAATGAATAAATTAACTTCGAAGAGGTCGTTTTGACAGTAAACAAATTATAATCAGTGTAGAAGTGTCCAAGCATGTTAGGCCCGTTCTTCTTTAAGTGCAAACCATAAACGCACAGAGCTCCCTAAAGTCCAGCAAGAAATCATGAAAGATATCAGGCTTATAATTTTGAAAGCCAAACTACATAAAACTCACGCTCTATTCAAAAGTCGAAAAGGCTAAATCAAACACGAAGTTGAGCATTGAGGGTGTTGATGGGGGTTTACAGAAGAGAGCATAATGAGCAAAAGATATAAAGAATAGAGAAAAATTTACAAAAAAAATAAAGAAAAGAGGGTAATGAGGTGCTAAAATGTAAAGAAGAGAGAATAATGGACAAAAAGTATAAAGAATAGAGAAAGATGGCCTAAAAAATTAAAGAATACAGAAATGAAGGACACCACCCCCTCCCCAATTCAGACCCTCAGCATTGCAATCCAAAAAATTCAAGAAGTTTTGCCAAATACGCAAAGGTTTCAATCAAAGATATTTATCTAAATGACTGGTGAACTTCTTAAAGTGGAAAAGCTACTGGAGATAATATAGGAATAATTTATGTTCGTTTTTGTAGTTGATTTTTATTATTGCAAAAATAATCGAACCAGGAGATCTTTCACAGTTTTACAGGCAGGAATCAATATATATAAATGTGGCTTGAATCACTATAGATTCAGAAAATACAATGAACCATACCGTTCTTAAAAACACAAAGTTGGGCCAAAATCTAACAAAGTTTAAAGAACAACATAAAACAACTTACTGATTTAAAAATTCAGATTTCTAAAAAATAGTATCTGAACTTATTTTTGAGGAATCGCAAGAAAAAAAAAAGGGCTGGTCAAAATTTAAGATGCCCAATTTTGTGTGTGAAAAAAGAAAACAAATATGGCGTTGCAGATGCGATACTATTATGAATAAGAAATTTCAAAGGTTACGCTGGAATAGGAGCAAAGGGAGGAGACAAGGGGACAATTTTTTCATTGTCACTTCCAGAAGTTTGCCAGTCCTCTCCCCACCAATCACATAACAGTCGTACGCCACTTGGTCACTATACAATATATTAAGATTTTGTTTATCGAAGTTTGAAATCTTTAGCTTAGAGATAGGAGGGTTGGCAAAGTAAACGTAGATTTGACCTATCTTTTAGAGAGTGGAGAGTTGGCATTTATCCCCAGCCTTGCTAATATGTTCCAGGGTCTCTGCAGGTTTTCTCAACATTGGCAAAAATTAAAGCAGTTCTACAACAGCATGCTGAATGTACAACTAAACTATAACATCGAAAAATAATTGTTTTTGAATTTCCTGTTTTGGTAATAGCTTGCTTAATCTATAGAGTAATTATTCAAATTAGATTTTAAAAGTTTTCTTATTAAGATTAACATTTGATATTTTCAATATTTTCATTTGACAGGATGTCGTATTGCATAATGCAAATAATATGTTAATTTTCAAATTTAAATGTAAAAATGTTAATACAAAAAAGTGCACACATAAAATGAGAAAGATAACATTATTTAAATTCATTCTTCCGTGTATAGTTGTTTTCAAAGAGATGATGTTAGTTAAATATCAATGGCTTTCATTGCATAATTTGCATACTTCTTAAAATACGATCTATACAAGTATAATTTTCACATGTACGCATACCTTGGCTAGTAAAACACATATTTAATAGCCTGTGATACTGCAAAATATAAATGAAGTTAATATATCTATTTTTATAAAGAAAAGAATCAAGAGTCAAAAGTACTGTAGAAAGAGGCAGGTGAAAAACACATCCGGGTAAGTGCTGTTCCGTTTACTCGCTTCTAATTTTAGTTGTCTGGAATATGTAGGTGTTGTATTGAGCGTTTTACTTTACGACATATGGTCTAAATAGGCAAAGAGGGAGGTTTGGGCGAGCGAGCGCGTAAAACTTAATTTAACCTGAGCCACATTTTGTGCTTGTGCCAAGTCCTGCTTTCTGGACCATGTGTTTTTCGATGTTGTTTGTCCTCTTTTGTTCGTATATTGTTTTCGGATTAGTCGGTTATTGGTTGTTTGTGGGGTCGGTTATGTCGTCCAATATTATATAATTGATTCACGTTATTCTTTGTATGGACTATTAATACTACATTAACAACTTGTTCTTTCAGTATCTAAATGTATCAATCAATATCCAATGCTTTGGTTGCTGTCATAATTTACCTGTAAAAACAGTATTTTGAGCAAAGATTAAATTTCATTTTTACAAATGAAAATAACCCTTGATCATACATTTCTTGCAGACATTTGAAGGTCCCCACTATGTATTGGTTACCTAAACTACACAAAAAAAAACCGTAAAATATCGCTTCATCTCGGCCTCTAGTGTTTGTTCTACTACTGATCATTAATGTTTGCAATAAACATATGAAAATAGTGGAAATAACCATTTTTGGAGTGTAAAAAATTCTGTGGATGTTTTAGATAAATTGCGTGCTTTTGATGGTCTTTTTGACTCGGTTGACAGTTTTGACTTTTCCACTCTTTACACTACACTTCCACACAATCTTATCAAGCAAAAGTTTTCATATTTAATTAAATGGTCGTTCGATAAAGCTGACTGCTAATTTATTTGCTGCAACTCATATAAAGCCTTTTTCTCAAACGAGAAAAGTAAATATGCTAAATAAACTTACTGGAGGTGTGATGAGATGATTAAAGCCATATACTTTCTCCTAGACAACATTTATGTACGTTTCGGCAATACAATATATCGACAGGTTGTAGGTATTCACATAGGCATCAATTGTGCCCCTTTAATAGCAGACTTGTTCATATACTGTTATGAATCACAGTGTATGGCCAAACTCAGAAAAGACGCGTCTAAATTCCATTAAATTGATAAATTCAACAACACTTATCGTTATCTTGATGATATTTTTTCGTTAAATAATCAAGAATTCCCTAAATATGCTGCCACTTACCTTAATTAAATCAAACATCAACAGCAATATGTGTCCTTTCTTAGATTTAGACATATCAGTTTTACACCAGAAACAATACAAAAATTTACGACAAAAGGGATGATTTTTCTTTCCCTATTGTTTTTTGGACGGTGATGTTCCTCTGGCACCATCTTACGATGTTTATATATCCCAACTCGTTCGTTATGCCCGTGTCTGTAGTGACGTTTTGGATTTCAATGAACGTAATCTATGTACTACTGATATATTATTAAGTCAGGGATTTCGTTACCACAAATTACTTAAAACCTTTACTAAATTTTTCCATAGATACAAAGATTTAGTTTGCAAGTTTGGATGTACATGTAAAAAACTTATTTCAGACGGAATAGCACATCCGAAATTTAATCGTGGTGATGTTTCCCGAGCCCATGAATTTATAAACGATCCGGGTAAACTTATCAATCGTTTAAAAAACTTATTCTAAAAGGTTACCAATTCAACACTGTAATTAGATCTTTGAATATTGTTTTTATTGGTAAAAATATTGATTTTGTTATCAGTAAATTAAAATCATACTAAATAGTTTTGTTATCAAATATACACTTTAACGGTATTGCAATCTGTCGATACCCTTATTTTGGCATTGCACAAAGTCATGTTTTTCTCTGACTGTTAATGATGTCTTTACACTAAATCCTTTGGATTTTGGATGTGTACTGATTGATATTTTAGTCTTAGATACATGATTTTTTTATTAGTTGTTATTGGCTTTTCATTAGCTGTCAGTAACTACGAGTACTCTCAGATCTGTACTTAGTATCCTTTTTGTTGTTCCCTAGGGATGAGGGATGGATAAATACCCTGCCACGTCCGGTGTGTTTATGTTTGACGTTTCTCTGCTTTGTATCGATGTGATGAGTTAAGCCTTTTTCAACTGATTTTGATAGTTTATTCTTATGTTGTGCTGTTACACCACTGTCCCAGGTTAGGGGAGGGTTGAGCTCTCACAAAAATGTTTAACCCCGCCACATTCTGTATGTGCCTGTCTCAAGTCAGGAGCCTGTAGTTCAGTAGTTGTCGTTGGTTAATGTCTGTCATATTTGTTTTTTCGTGAATTGTTTTGTTATAAATTAGGCCGTTAGTTTTCATAATTGAATTGTTTCATATTTTTTCATGTCGGTATGGGTTTTTCTCATTGTTGAAGGCCGTACGTTTGCCTATAATTGCTTACATCCACTTTATTTGAACTTTGGTGGATAGATGTGTCATTGGAAATCATACCTCATCTCCTTATTTTTATAAAGACTTCTTCTAGATTTGCCTTCAACAGGAACGCTCAAAGCCGAACATTTGATATTCTACTGGCTTTGACAAACTCAAAATTAAAAAAGTGATAATTATCAATAGGCCACAAAACCAATGACACAACAGTTTTATAATTAACTGTCTAGTGGTCTTCAATGGAAGACGAGGGTCTATATCATTTGGAATTGACCTAAATCCGAGATAAATTTCAGCAAAAAAATCAAATATGGTATTGTCATATACAGCGTTAGAGATTTGTGACAAAATGAACATAATACACAATAAACAAAACAAAATAACAACATAACCACGCAGGGAAAACGTTTCCCTAAAAAGTATTAAAGCAAATAAATCTATTTATATACAATATAAATAAATCAAAATTCTCTGTCTTCAGATCTAATGCATGTTTAATAACGGACTCCAAGCAGTTTCTACTTTTTTAGATTGATGATTTAATTCTCTCAGTTTCTTGCACATTATAATGTATATTAGATAGATAGATAGATTTATTTGATCAAATATCAACATAAAAACATTACAAAAGTAGTATAAAACAATAGCTGATATGCCGTTAGTTTTCTCGTTTGAATTGTTTTACATTTGCCATTTCGGGGCCTTTTATAGCTGACTATGCGGTATGGGCTTTGCTCATTGATGAAGGCCGTACGGTGACCTATAGTTGTTAATTTCTTTGTCATTTAGTCTCTTGTGGAGAGTTGTCTCATTAGCAATCATTCCACATCTTCTTATTTATTTATGTAAACATACCAAAATCATAAAATCTAGAACAAAATTAAAAAAAATCCAATGGGGGTACCTAAATAAGGATTGCCCATGAAAGCCGTACGGCTTATTTCCAATGGGGTCCCTTTATGTTACATTCTTAAAAATATCAAATATTATTACAAGAAATCATGACTTTAAGAGATTTTATACTAATTATGTTAAAATTATAATTGACGATGACATTGACTAGAATATTCAAGCAATTCAATAAAATAAAAATTTGCAAAATGGTTGCTTTCCTTTTTTGACAGAAAATTTTTAACATCAGATTTATATCATTCAAAATTTTTGTTGCTCTTTAAATTATTTGTTTATTTATTTTGAATATCAGTGTCTAACACACGGCTATGTTGCGCTTGTTGTAGTCACATTCCTGTTCTCTTTTCCCCGATTTGCTCGACTTGTCATTAAATCTTTACTTGTCAAGAGAAACACGACGAATTTCCAAAATCATCCAACTCAGAAAATAAAATGGTCGTGCCATTCAACCTTCATTATAAACTGCATATACAAGTAGAACCTGCCGATAAAGTGTTTTTGGAAGGAAGCTGGTTTATTCATATTAAAAAAGATATATAATTCTAATCACCTGAAAACTATTATGATATAAGAGTAATGCATACTTACTTAATAGGGCTATATGTATATTTTAGTCCTTTTCGTTTTAGATATGAGTCAATGGTTGTTGAAAAAGAAAAAGAAACATTTATCAAAGTCGACCAAAATCGGGAAAACAGATGTGAAACCCACCATAGAACTACATCCGCATACATTTAAACAAAATAAATCTTCATTTTCTCAACAAAAAGGTCAAATACAATCAAGACAATGCAACCATAGAAAGGCAGACGATATTTATGGATTTCCAGTGAAAGACTGCAAGATGGAAGGTAGAGACTCCCAAGGTCAAGGTGATAAGATTTATAATGAACCATGGGATATTCATTGTAACGTTTTAAATAATGATCAAATGTGTTGCAGTGTTTGTTTATCAAAAGAATTTTCGTATTCAAATGATGGTAAGAGGACGAGAAATACTTCTGTACTAGAAACAAGCGCAACAAAATCAAAATCGAAGCCAGGGATTCGCGACAAAGTTAAAAATAAAACACACAAAAATGAACGTCCTGGATATTTAGAAGACAGTGACACCGGATGTGAATTTTCAAACAGCAGCGACGAAGAAAGTGATTATTATGAGTTTTTAGAAAATATTGAGCGTAGATTGAAAATAGACAATTCTAATTGCAATCCTGTAATAATGCCAAAATGGGACTCGCCCTTTTATGAAAAAGGCAATCAAAGTCGGCCAGTCTTGAGAGGCAATGGCTTCAACGCAAGATGTGCCGATGATGTCATATATAATTCTGGATCTGATCACAGTAGTGGATTTTTTGAAACAAACAGTACAACTTTAACAAAATATAATAGTCCAAATAATGATATTGTGCCAAAAATCACTAGCAATACAGAGGACTTGGACATATTCTCTTTCCCAGTCGATGAACCAGAAAATATAAGTCAAGATTTGAAACCTGGCAAGAGAAATCCTGGCAAAGTGTACCAGACAGGTTATGGGTTTAAGGGAAACAGACTATTAGGCGATTTGATACAAATGAATTATGAAAAACAACAGCTACATTGATTTAAAAAATTAGCCTTTAAATTGTGATAAGTGTTTGACATTTCGTGGTTATCTACAACAGACTTCCATGACTGATATAAAACAAACAAAATGAAATATCTGTGTGTTCCTTGTCGGAAGCTAAAATATATAAAATACCGAGTTTTACCGTCCGGTCTTGTTAGCGCTCTCATGCCTAAACTTCTTGCTTGATTCTATAAAATTTATAGCAAAGGTCAATAATAGCAATGTATCTCAAAACTTCGAATACCAGCGCTCGATCGTCTTTCTTTTTTGGAGTTATACCCCTTGGAAATTAAATAACAAGAAAAATCGAATATATTAAGCGCTACATTTCTAGTTTTATCTTCTTTTTTTAGTTATATCAAAAGTTTTATCAGCAAAGTCTCGTACGAGATATTAAAAATCATTATATATAACGATTAGGACGAGTTCAAAAACCCAAGTGCCAAACAATTGTTTTACGAGAGCCGTCCCTTTATAACGTTATATGCAAGCAGGGGCATCGATCATCTGTGTTCAATTTTCATTTAACTCAATTTATATTTGAAAGGACATTAAGAGGCAAAATCAGTGCAATTTATGAAAGCGAAAGTACAAAATGTACGGCGCTGACAACGGAGGAGGGATAGGAATGAAGCACTCATTAACTCTATAGGGGAACAGTCGAGGAATAAATGGTCATATTCATCTGAGAAAAAAAAAACGATAAAGGAACTAATGGTTTATATTCTATTTGCATGAAAATGTGTCGATTACGATTTACAGACATAAATTTGAAAGCCCAAGGACTTGGTCGGCAATATGTGCGGAATGCGCTCTGATGTCGTACAGCACCAGCAATTCCCTACACGTCAGAGTAATCTCGGACTATAAAAAGCATATGCAAAAATGAAATGCGGTACGATTTTACATAAGACGACTATCCGGCAGAGTTCGAATGACATTGATATAAGACCTTTAACTATGAGAAAAACCTAAAACTATAGTAAGTTTTAAAAGGCCCCGGCATGACAAAATGTGAAACAATTTAAACGAGCAACCTAAGATTTATGCTAAAACAATTAACGAAAAATAAAATACGACAGACAGCAACAACGGTAGCCACAGTGATCGATCTGCAGGCTCCTGACAACTTGTTATCTGAAATATAAATTGAAATTTTTTATTCATTATTCAGTATTATTTTTTATCTAATTTTAATGAACATAAAAGTGAGAAGATTTGTGCTACAATTTCGATAAGGGACAAACATGAACATATACATGAAAAATAAAATCGCATGGAAAGACTTTAAAAAAATAAGTACAAGTGGGAAAGTTAATCTGATTTTGTGATGCTTTTTGTTTATATTCATAGTACAACAAATTCAAAACTGACCGACAAAACCATCTTAAAAATACTTAACCGTTATATGAAATACTGTTTTCCCATTTGTAAGTTAACTTAAAAGTATTTAAGGTACTAGTGTATTGTAGACTACAGTAGTGTATCGCTGTTCAAAACTTGTAAACTTATTAAGAAAATACAAATAAAGATATAAAAGAGCAATGAGGGAATAGCATGAACACCAAACATAGAGAGACGTCGACTTGGTAAGCTTCCCCTGTAGTGCATGCATCACCAACCATGCGAATCCACACTCAGTCATAACTTGGTCACCATAGGTCAAAGGACACAATCGGTAAATATACATTTCAGACGACTTATCTGGTACCCAAAGATCTAAGACTGAAACATGTCTCTTGTGAGTTGGGACACAGACATACTTATTCGTGATGGTGACCATAAAACTTGTGTAGTGGCGGTTAAATAGTTCTTCTTAAACTTAGCTTTTCATCAGACGAAACACGAACCTTTATAAGGCACAGATCATGCATCCTCCATGTGCATATAAGGGGAGGGAAGAACATGGTTTTTTTCCCTCCGTTTTCAGCTTAACAATACATAAAGCTATACAGGGCAAATATACAGGACAAAGCAATGTTTTTTTAATCTTCTTAAAAAAAATATTTTTATGTAACATTTTTTCTCAAGAAATACCCCAAACAAAAGATGAATGATCGGTGCTTGATGTGATAGAAAATATAATTCTGAAAATCAAGCTCGTGTTCATGAATGTTCGCAATAATGTCAAGTAATATCGATAACATTTGTAAGAACGAATTAAAGATAATTCTTAACAAAAAAAATCCATACCTATTGGCAAGTAAGATGATTTGTATTTACGGTTTTTGCTTCCTGTTTCTGGCAGATGATTTTTTGATTCAAGTTTTGTTTTGGTGCAGATTATAAAATTCTTATATTTTAAGTAGTTGCATCTACAGACTTTTTGTTCAGTTTAATGAAAAAAATGTATCAATCTTTTAAGTGGGTTAATCATATTAAATCTATATTTAACAAGGCAGGTTTAGGATATAAATATGAAATTACCGATCCAAAATATTGAAAAAGTATTGGTGGACACAATTTACTTGAAGACCAGTTGATTCAAAACGATGTAGTGAAATAGACATATTTTCTCGTGGACAATTTTAACGTTTATTTAAGAAATGGTTTGAGATAACTCCAAGTTTGATGTAGTTCGTGTTTTGCTCTGTCGTTACTTTTCTATGCAATGATTTTTGTTGACTGTTGTTTGTACTTTCGTAGTTTTCCGTATTTTGCCATGGTTTTGATGGTTTTTCTTTGAATTAGGTATTTTGATTGTCTCTTTAGTATATTTGCCTTTTTCGATGTTTAGAACATTATTTATCAAAATTAGTGAACACAATAGAATTTGGATAACAAAGTTAAGAACGTTCCAGAGAACGTGGTAATACGACGAAGTACTCCGTTATATAATTTGAGAGGTTGAACTGCTTCAAATGTGGAATCAGTTCAGTATCTTTCTTGGTAGGTTTGTGTTCTCTCTAACGTACTCCGCAATTCGGTGTATATCAGGATCCCGCGCTCGAAATTTCCTCCAGTCAAAGATGGTACCAATTCCACTGATTCATAAATCGAGATCTTCCAGTATGTCATCTGGTATGGCTATATTACAGATGGCTTGGACAGAATCACGGCTGATGGGTAACATGCAACTAAGTGCGCCCGCATCTGCATTGGTTTTACCAGGTCTGTACTTGATTTCAAAAGTGAATGCTGCTAATCCTGCTAGCCAAAGGTGTCCTGTAGCGTGTAACTTTTTAGATTTCAATACATATGTAACTGCATTATTATCCGTGTATACTGTGTATTCTTTTATAGGCTATAGAGGTAGTCTAGAAACCTGTCACTTACTGCCCATTTTAATTTCTCTCTTGCATAGTGGGTAGATAAAGGCAACAGTAGTATACCGCTGTTCAAAACTCATAAATCGATAGAGATAAAAACAAATCCGGGTTACAAACTAAAACTGAGGGAAACGCATCAAATATAAGAGGAGAACAACGACACAACAAAAACACAACATTAAAATGTAACACACACAGAAACGAACTATAATATAACAATGGTCATTTTCCTAACTTGGTATAGGACATTTTAAGAAAAAAATGGTGGGTTGAACCTGGTTTTGTGGCATGCCAAACCTCCCGCTTTAATGGCAACGTCAAACACAACACCAAACGACAACATCACATGACAGGACCACAATACAAATAAATTGGAGAACATATAGGACAAAGAAACACACGAATAATAGCTAACAAAAGGTACTAGGCTTAAAATTAAATACGCCAGACGTGCGTCTCGTCCACACAAGACCATCCAGTGACGTTCAGATGAAAAAAGCTTGAAAGCCAAAACAAGTACAGAGCCGAAGAGCACCGAAGACCAAAATTTCCAAAAAGTTGCGCCTAACACGGCCAGGGTTTTCTGCCTGGGACAAGAACATCCTTATTATTTAGAATAATTTATAGTTGTGTTCAGCCTTGTTTAGTCTTCGACTTGCGTAACTGATGACTCTTTATTTCATGATGCTGTTGGAAGAGAACGGCTTCTAAGGCATCTCAGAAGCATTGGTATGAAGCTCGTATAGTACCATCTGCATATGCAAGGATCGGTGCACTTACAAGAGCGACTTTCAGTGTCTGGAATGCCTGTTAATGTTACTCATTCCACTTCTACTTTCTGGATGGCTTGGATTTGGGCTTTTGCGTCTTGTTTGTCACTTTGAATTTCAGTTAATATTTATATATCTTTAGGTTCAGATAGTTGCTTTTCTTTCGTATGAAGGCTAGGGACAGGTTCTGCCTTTTGTTTGTTTTTAAAAGTTAAATCGTCTCAGAAGTTGAAATTTAATTGACATCTTACATACTTGATTGTCACTTTGAATTTCAGTTAATATTTATACATCTATAGGTTCAGATAATTGGTTTTCTTTCGTGTGAAGGCTAGGGACAGGTTATGTTGAGTATAGGTTAGAGTCTAGGAGTTATATTGACTTGGCTTATAGTAGTATACCAGATCTACAGATAAATACTTAGTCTATATTGGAGTACGAATACATGTATGCGACTTGAGTACTAGGGTAAACGACATGTATTCCTAGGTACAGAGTAGGCTTGTATTTTTCGTGTTTTTAGAGCTTGTTACCGTAGACCGTATGTTATCGGTTAACGAGTTGATAACTTTATTTTTTAGCTCACCTGGCCCAAAGGGCCAAGTGAGCTTTTCTCATCACTTGGCGTCCGTCGTCCGTCGTCGTCGTCGTCCGTCGTCTCCGTCGTCGTTAACTTTTACAAAAATCTTCTCCTCTGAAACTACTGGGCCAAATTAAACCAAACTTGTCCACAATCATCATTAGGGTATCTAGTTTAAAAAATGTGTCCGGTGACCCGGCCAACCAACCAAGATGGCCGCCATGGCTAAAAATAGAACATAGGGGTAAAATGTAGATTTTGGCTTATATCTCTGAAACCAAAGCATTTAGAGTAAATCTGACATGAGTAAAATTGTTTATTAGGTCAAGATCTATCTGCCCTGAAATTTTCAGATGAATCGGACAACCCGTTGTTGGGTTGCTGCCCCTGAATTGGTAATTTTAAGGAAATTTTGCCGTTTTTGGTTATTATCTTGAATATGATAATAGATAGAGATAAACTGTAAACTGCAATAATGTTCAGCAAAGTAAGATCTACAAATAAGTTTACTTGACCAAAATGGAGGGTTGACCCCTTAAGGAGTTATTGCCCTTTATAGTCAATTTTTAACCATTTTTCGTAAATTTTTGTAATCTTTTACAAAAATCTTCTCCTCTGAAACTACTAAGACACATTTAACCAAACTTGTCCACAATCATCATTAGGTTATCTAGTTTAAAAAATGTGTCCGATGACCCCGCCCGCGAACAAAGATGGCCGACATGGCTAAAAAATAGTACATAGGGTAAAATGCAGTTTTTGGCTCATATCTCTGAAACCAAAGCATTTATAACAAATCTGATGGGATAAAATTGTTCATTGTGTCAAGATCTATCTGCCCTGAAATTTTCAGACCAATCAGGCAACACGTTGTTGGGTTGCTGCCCCTGAATTGGTAATTTTAAGAAAATTTTGCAGCTTTTGGTTATTATCTTGAATATTATTATAGATAGAGATGATAAACTGTAAACAGCAATAATGTACAGCAAAGTAAGATCTACAAATAAGTCAACATGACCAAAATTGTCGATTGACCCCTTAAGGAGTTATTGCCCTTTATATTCAATTTTTTACAATTTTCATAAATTTTGTAAATTTTTACAAAATATTTTTCACTGTAACTACTGGGCCAAGTTCATTATAGATAGAGATAATTGTAAGCAGCAAGAATGTTCAGTAAAGTAAGATCTACAAACACACCACCATCACCAAAACACAGTTTTGTCATGAATCCATCTGTGTCCTTTGTTTAATATGCACATAGACCAAGGTGAGCGACACAGGCTCTTTAGAGCATCTAGTTTAAAGTATCAGATTGAGGTCAGTACACAAGACTGGTTATTCAGCTTATACATTGTTGTATTTTATTTTCAGACGTGCTTGTCATTTGATTATTTGTGCATACAATGCATTTGGTATTCGATATTTGGCATTAGACTTCATCATTGCTAGTGGGGACGATCTACCCGTTAATACACAACCTTCCAGTCCTACGCTGAAAGAAGATGAACAGTCCAAGATGCTGTTCCAGACATTTGAATCAATATGTCTTCGACCAAAGGGAGGTAATACAAAATAACTGAATGAATGGATAAGTACATACAATGCACAGAAGGAACAGAAACCGACAAGACAAAGAAATCAAGCGAAGTTTGACACTACCATCAGCAGTGACTGGAACAGTTTCTAAGTTTTAACCACAACAAGAAAAACCACCACAAGAGAAACCACCACAAGAGAAACCACAGCAAGAGAAACCACAAGAAAGACCAACTACATTACTTTCTCACCCGCCAAAGGTTCGATGCTTTTCTTGTGGATACAACAATGGAGATTTGCCATTTAACATCTGGTGTTGTGATGTTAAGATGATGCTCGTGGACTTATCTTACAGCAGACACAAAAGGAATTTGCAATTATTCAACTATCACAAACAGGTTCAGCAGCTAGATTAGTCATGCAACAGGGATTTGAGAAATATATTAAACAAGTTGTGGATGTATTGGACAGTGTGTATGGAAACATAGACACCAAAGAACAACTAACTGCAGAATTTTACAGTGCAAGACAGCGAGGCGATGAGAATGTTACTATATAGAGTAATATATTACAGAATATACTGGAGAAAAGTCTTGAGGCATGCATCGTCAGCTACAAAGAAATGAATTCCATGCTACACCCCATGCTATGGACAGGTTTAAGACAAAAAATAAAGAATATAAGTGGATACTAGTATGACACCATTAAAGATTTCAACCAACTAAGTGTAGCTTTGCGTCAATTGGAAAAAGATGATCAACCAAGGAAGTTGAAACCTCAATCAGCCAAAGCTGTAACTACTACCACCAAAGCAGAGGTACAGATACACATGATTATGAAGAGCTTAAGGGAATGATACGGCAATTAACACACGAGTTAACTGAACTGAGAAAGCAACATCTGCAACCAAAGTATTATAGATGCAACAGCGTTAGAAATGAGAGGAACACAACCAAATTGTTTTTAGACGTTGTGGTAAAGGACACATACAGATAGGATGCCGTGTAAGATTTTATCATTCAAGAAGGCATGTAAACTACGGGAAGCCTATGCGGATGGACCAGCATTAGGCTTGAACAGAAGAACATCAGGTCCCAAGGTAAGTAACAAAAATAACAGCATTATTAGATACAGAGTAAACCGTAACAACCTTTACAAAGTCATTTTATACAGAACAATTATCAGCGACAGTACCATTAAAAAATTTGAATAACATTTTGGAAGTGGAATGCGCTGGAGGATCTAAGTTACCTTATACCAGATATATAGAGGTTAACGTCAATATACCTTGAAATACCAACACCACTAATAACAAACATGAAATGATAGTAGTACTAGTACCTGATAGCAGATATAGTCAACACATACCAGCTTTAATTGGAACAACAATATTAGACAACATGTTTATTATCTGAAGGAGGAACACGGAGCAAGATATTACAGAATGCCGCTTTAACAACTCCATGGTATATAACTTTTAATGTTTTACAATGAGGGAAAAGGAGTTGACAAGAACAACAACAGAGTAGCAGTAATTAGAACATGCAACAGAATAACCATCCTTCCAAATACCATAACTGTATTTACTCGCTACATTTGGCGCCCAACTTAAAAACCCTTGGTGTTTATAGAAGATATCTAGTCAGGGTATGCTTGGTGAGAGTCATAATAGTATGATGACTGAGGTCGGGGGATGTGACAGGATTTCTTCCCTAGAATAATAGATACTTAGCCAGTCGTTATTGATTGAGCTAGGGAACTACTTCTTTCGCTCAGTAGGTTAGAGTGCTGACTTCGAACACAAAGGTCCCGGGTTCGAGTCCCGGAGGAGACACATTGATTTTCTGATAAGAATGATGCTCTCCGGTTACAATAGTATATGGACTGCTTAATTTGGGATTCATTTATCTGTTAATTTGATATTCAAAAAGAAATATAATCCATTATCACGAATTCTAAAATTCGTAAAAACTAATTGAATTTATTTTTTCCAAATTGTCCAAAATGAACTACCGTAAGAAAGAAACAGTATTTAAATTCAATACACTATTTCAAACACGTGATTATCATTTTGTCTAGACAAAAAAGAACCTAAACGTTCGAGGTTATTTAATGTAAAAAAAAGACGGATCAAGGATCATAACAAGGGCGAATGTGGACTTATGATAAATGTAAGTTTGGAAATCTTTTGTTATGAATTTTATTTAACTTTTTCCTATTTCTGAATCTTGTATTTCTTTTTGTATGAAAATCTGTATTTGTAAAACGTATGAAAACTGAACCAATACTTAATTATGATATTATTGCAACATGTTTTAATAAGGCGCGGTTCTGCTTACGCACAAACGTTCTCTAATAATCGACATAAAGACATCCATGACCTTAGATCTTTACCGCAGAAAATGTCTATGTCATAGAGAAATGCTCTATAGACTATATGTGCATGATACTTTCACTTTCGTTTGTTAACCGTCAATATTCAAGTGATCATCAGGAATATGAAACAAAATGTCACACATTAACAAAACAGGACTTATACAATCGAATCGGGGTTAGGGGGAGGCGGTTGAAAAACAAACAAATTTAAAATAAATTGTCTGAAATTTTTATAATTAGAAATATATATTAAGATACATTTATAAAACGCACAAAAGCAAGGTAACTCACCTTTGCATAATAGAACCCGTTTGCCTATATGTTCAGAAAACAAGCCCAGAACACCCTTTGTAGACAATAACAATATTGAACACAATGACCAACGGTCATCTCCTTTTATTACTTTGTACAAAACTAGTATTATAAAGTTATTTCAGTTAATGTTCCTCTTTTGTATAGAATTAGTATAACACAATGACCTAAGATCATCCCCTTTGCATATCATTGTACATGAATATATTTATATGTCATCCCTTACCTATAGGACCAGTTTTACAAAATAACCTTCGGTAATTTGTTTTTGTTGTACTGCACTGACCCTCGGTCAAGTTGTAAAACAAATCTCATGGTCAGGTAATTGGGTTTTGTACATGTACTTGTCTCAGACAAAGTGAATGACCTCGAGCTCGTGTCATTATGTTCGACATTAATATAAAAAAAAACAGGTTTTTTTTTTTGTGTTTCGCAGTATTTTACAAAGCAGTTAACTTTGTTTTTTTGTGTTTTATATATAAAAAAATATATAATTTTAGGGTATTCAATTTAGACCTCCATCCACCGAAACCCAATTCAAATGGGATAAGTCTGTCATGTTATTGTCATAGGATATATTTCGGTTTCAATGTTATAAAACATTCCTATTTTGATTTCAACTTCAACATGCAGATTTGAATTGCTATATTCAATATCCGAATCTGAACATTCAATTTTAAAATTTTATAAACAAATTCGCATGTTCAACCGATAATTAATAATGTTGAATTAAGTACAATTTGGTGAACTTTTTTTCTTTTAATTCAATTGCTTTGTTGCGTTTGTCATGAACCGGCAATATAAGAAGACTAAGATCAATTTCATGTAAGAATGTTGTCTTAATATTTTTCTATTTTATTTCTTTTATGTACCTTACGGTGCGTTGTTGTTGGCTCCGGATTCTACAAATTTTTCAAACAATTTTGAATATTTAATAAAAAATCTGTATATAAATTTAAGAAGTACATAGTATAACAAAACACTAGTGTTTTAAAATACTTAATGCCATTTTGTAGTTTCGTAAAAGTTGCAACCAATAAAAAAATAAATGTCTTTAAATTTAGTAATTAAGATAAAGTGACTCGTATAAAGAATATTTAAAACACATACGAAACAATATATGATATGTGTAGTAACAGAAAAATCGGAAAACCGAAATTGGAGACAAAAAATAGATAATAAAATTAAAGTTATACGACAGATAAATGTAAATTTATTTTATGAATGTTATACATATTTAAAGATTATTCTATGTCTTGTGTCATTCAAGATATTTCAAGATTGTATCCTCGTCAGATTCACGTGATGAATCTATGTCAACTCGTCTTTGTTAGTGAAAAAACTGTATTTTCCAAGTTATTTGAATCCATTTTAGGACAATAACAAATTTGAAACTATTAAAGGTTAATAATTCTACTGAAAATCAAAGCTTTTAACGAAGATATGATATATTGAGTAGTAAAAAGGTAAGACACTTAAACTTTTAATCGAAATCCTATAGCTAACACAATTTATGATTAATTTTGTTGAAATAACTTTTTGATCCACATTGCTATGTACGTGATTCGATGATTTACTAATATGAGATTTCTTAACATAAATATGCAAATGAACTGAAACGTTCCTATTACGCTCTGTAACAAGTTATTTTTTTTAACAATTTTCGAAATGACTTTGAATAATTCGTTATCTTTACTAGTTTTTTTATTTTCTTTTGTTCCATTCTAAAAATATTCAACATAAAATTTATTAAATACTGCGATCTTCATTTTTTTTTAAATCAATCGTGAAGTAATATCTGCAACAGGTATTGGAACAAGGGAATATGTCTAACTATGTTTTACGTCCATGTTGGCCTTAAAGTTATCGAATTTGATCAAAATACATAAATTATAATTGTGTCTATTAAAATTTTCTAAAGCAACTAATAAAGTCTTAACGTTACATAAGATGGCTAAAACAAAATGTACCCTATTTCGCCTATGAATATTCAGATTTCTGGATCAAACATACATTTTTCGTTTTAAACGAAAACTGGCAAGACTAATTATTTGACTTTTTCACTTGAAATCTGTTGACAAATAATAATTTCTGAGTATTACTTACGTTCCCATTTTTGTCTTTTGGCAGTTGACGAATTACAAATAAGACAAACAACTAATTGGTATATTGAAGGTTATTTACCACCCAGAGGAATGAATACGATTTACGACTGTACGTTATAGACAATCATTCTTAACAGATATTAAAATGTCGTAATTCCAATAGGAATATACAAACAAAACCTAAGGGAATCGCATGATCATTAAACGGAGCGAGACCGGTTGCTTCGACAGGGTATGCGTCTCTTGCTAAGCATGCATCATCCGTAATGCGAATTCACACTCAGTCAAATACTAAAAAACCTGAGTGTTTCAATATTACAATATATGTATATAAGCACTGAGGTAAGGTTTTTCTTCAATTTGTAGTTTAGTTTGAGCTGTTGAAGGTCTTTTTGTGATTTAAAGATAATGAACAACAATAAAAACTTTTTTTTGATATCTAAAACATTATACATATAAATATTATTTCAGCACATAACCAGTCTTTCAGTACTAATTGTATATCTTTTCTCTTTCGTTGACAGTTTATAATGGCACAACAAGAAAGAGAGAATTTTTACCGGTTTTCAACATTAATGATGGATCACACGAAAAAGTCTTTCACGGATCTTTTAGAATTACATCTCATGAAGAAGAATTTATCTTTTGAGGAATTTCTAAACCAGAACCAGCATGATATATACCATCTCTGCTACAATAGATACCGGTGTCGTTGTCAATGTTCATCTAATTATATTCTACCATATTATCGTGTTCTAAATGCCTCACAGCTAGATGTATTGTTCGACAAACACGGACCGAAAATGCCACGCCATAACCATGCACGAAACGCAGAATTTTGCTGTAGCAAAGCAAAGACAGGAAATTGGAATTACTGCACGGGTCTTGGATATGACTTTAGCAAAATGTCTTCTAATACGTTTTTGTACTGATGTTTTCTGGGACTGCTGTTTAACCCAACCGAGTCTGTCGTTCGAAGAATTTCTCAATACAAATAAGCATGATATTTATCATTTAGTTTTCGGTTATAACAATTTCTGCTGTCAATGTCACTGTGGATACACCTTTCCGGTAGAACAACTGACGCAAAGTAATTTTACACATTTATTCGGTAAAACAGCACAGCTGTGCTCTAGCTGCGTTAGTTCATCAACAAGGTCAACTATTTGTGCAGTAGAAGCGACGAATGGAATAAGTGTTAGAAATATTGATGACCTTGTCGCCGATATTTTGCTTCCGAATATATGTCCTTTAAAAAAAGCAGTCAGTATCCTAGTAAAAATTAGAAACAAAATGTATGGCCATGTTGCTGAAGCAAAAATGACAAATCAAGATTACAAAATATATATGTTGGAAACCGAGAAATCTCTTATACAGATAGCCGCTATGTGCCAGAAAGAAACAGAAGCAAGACAGACAATAGAAGATCTCAGACAAAGGCCTTTAGATGAAACGTTATTAATCAAGTACCAAACAGTTCTCTTGAGAGACATCCAAGCAGAAAAGGAAATCTCTGAAACTCAAAGAGAAATCAAAGAGGTTCGTTTGCAAATGGTTCAAAATTATTATAGTTCATACTTATGTAAGGCTGTATACAACATGTTCCATGAAATGTTTATTGCTGATATTCAACACTACACATATTTTCACATATAAAGTTTGTTTAATGGTTTGTTTGTATAATACACCAAAGTCATGAAATTATATACATACTTCTCTACATAAAAACTGCGAACAATGCTCACAAAATCATACTTCTTCCCATGCAAAGTCAACAAATAGTGAAGGGAGCTCCTGAAAATAATTCTGATATAAAAGGAGGTGCACAATGACATTATATGTTGAAGATTTCTTAAATCTGACTATGGGTTAAGATGGATGGAGAAGCTGATACAAACTTTTGCTGAAGTGTACAGATGTGACAAAGTCCATGTTATGTCAAATTTAAAACCTACCAATCATTCAAGCAAAGCGATAAAATAGGAGATACAAAAGTTCTTCACGTTACTTAAATTCTGTGATAGTTTAAAACAGCGATGTCAAGCAGGGCATCTATTTCCTATCATGATTTCCTTGATAGAGGGTTGCTGCTCAGAAGGAAGCTTTTAAACCAATCAATTTTACAGACACTATAACGAGTTGGTTGACCGTTATGTAATACCGTATAGCGTGTTATTTTCGCGGGTGTAAAATTTCGCGATTTTAATTGAATAAGATATACAAATTATTTTGACGGTTATTATTTTAACGGATTCAAAACTTTTATCAATACCATTGCATGTGCACTTTTAAATTGGCGGAATTTATTTTGGCGATTTTCTTCTATCCGCGAAAATAAGCGAAAATTTACACCCCGCGAAAATAACCCGCTATACGGTATCTGTTTCACAGATGATAACTGATATTTTTCAATTGTCGTAACTACAATCCTTTCCCCTTTTTCCCGAATGTGACCCACCGAATTTGTACTAACATGAGCAACACGACGGATGCCACATGTTGAGCATGATCTGCTTACCCTTCTGGAACACCTGATATCACCCCCAGTTTTTGGAGGGGTTCGTGTTGCACAGTCTTTTTCTTTTTTAGCCATAACGTTGTCAGTTTATTTTCGACTTATGAGTTTGAATGTCCCTTTGGTATCTTTCGCCTCTCTTTGACTGTAGGATGAATGGGTATAGAGAAACCTCTATCACTATATACCGCCCTATTCAATCGTGGGGATATTATAAGGACATATGGTATGATTACCAATGAAACAACTATTTTTACCGAGGACAAGGATTAAACGCTTTCTGGTAGGAAATCTTACGGCATTCATCAATGAACAAAACATATGTAGTATTGAAAATTAAATATAAAAGACCACGTGATAGCGAGATCTGAAACAATTCAAATGTAAAAACTATTTGCTTGTTTTTGAAACATAAGAATCTTGAAAACTGGAATTTTTGGCGAGAGAAATATGATTTTGGAATTTTTTTTTATTAAAAACAGTGGAAAAAACGATATGTAAACTGTATAATAATCAGTGGTAGAAATACAGGGAATTGAAAAACATTACTTAAGATGTAATTCTTTCATGTATGCTCTATGCTCATTTTAACATGGGTATGCATAATATTTGTCAATATCTTTATACCGAGCGAAAGCGAGGTGTAAAATGAAGAGAAGTAAAATGTTAAAACTAGCATAGAGCATGGCATGATAGATTTATTTCGAATCGAATAGGAATATTTAGAACTTCTGTACTTCGAAGCGGACATATAATACACGTTCGAAAGGCAGCCATTTTGTTTTTATGAAGCCAAAACGATATAGAAAGTCAACCTTTTCACGATAAAAAAAAATGAACAGATATATATAAACTGACTTTGAGAATGATTTTATTTAATTCCCGGCGTTGTTCCAAATACAACTGACGTTGCAATTTCAATTGTGACGTCAATCACGTGCAGCCTTTGTTCTATTGCAATTAAAACACGGCTTTGCTTCCAAAGAGAAAGAAACACGTCATATTAGAATAGTGTATTCTGGAAATACAAGCTTATATTTTTAATAAAAAGTTATAAATGTCAGTAGTTAACATCCTTCAGTACTGATTATGGCTGTATCGCTTATACGTAATTTTGTTTTCCTCTTTTTATGAGAATTTTATTTCAATTGGTTTTCATTTTTATCATATTTGCACTTTCATTTCTATTATGTTCTTGTGCATATAGATTCTTTCTTTTATTTGGCAGTACTTAGAAACTAATTTAGGAAGTGTCCAGGAAAGACTTGCCTCAATCGAACTTTTACAAACAACGAAAATGCAAGATGTTTTATCAGCAATGGACGAAATTGGCAAGCAGAAAACTAAAGGTATTTTAACATTTTATCTTTGTTGAAAACAAGAAACATATCTGAGCATTCCAACCTAAATTATTTCACACAAGTATATACTGTGTTTTTTCTATAACTTAATGGGCAAATATAACATATATATTAAATGTTTAATTGCATGCAAAAGTTGGGTCATTTTCCTAGGACACAATCATGCATTAGCGGCAGTGTTTTCCATACTATACAACTAAGAGTTGTTAATGTATGAGCTATGGTCAAAAGATGTGGAAGCTCCAGTATACAAGCTACGTCATTGATATTTCATTTTTTTTCATAATATAAATGAAATAGTATTTCAAAAAGACTACACATATCAAAACTATTTTAACATTATCAGAGGTTTACTCTGTTAGTAACTGCATCACACATGTCAAAAACAAACAATGTTGAACTGTGTAAAAATTCCTTTTAAATGTTTGTTTCAGATACAGGGCGAAGGACAGAAAAGTATGACGGTAGGTAGATTCCCAAAAGTAGGTGTGCAATAAATATCAAAGAGATAACATCTTAACTTTTTTGATTTATTGTTCGATTTACACTTTTGAAACATTTGATTTGACAGGAAAAATGGTCGAGTATTTTTTATTTCCATTTTAGCAACACAATGCATATAAAAGAACACAGTTCCAATGTCCCCCGCGTAGTACATGTTTTATCTGTCCAAGGTCAAAGGGCAATAACAAGTTTTGGTTCTTTAAAACTTTTTATAAATATTTTTTGAGAAATGAAGGCTTGAGAGCAAATGCAATGCAATTTCCAATATGAATAATACTTCCAAGGGGTATAACTCGTTAAGAATATTTGATCAGCACTTATTTTCGAAATTGTCCAAGACATTGCTGATAAAAAACTATGATATAAGTTTCATACAAATCTGGCAAGAATTGTACACGTGATAGTGATAACAGTGCAATTTTCCATATAATCAATATTTCCAATATAAATAATATTTGCCAGGGGTATAACTCGTTAAGAATATTTGATCAGCACTTATTTTTGAAATTGTCCAAGACATAGCTGTTAAAAAAACTATGATATAAGTTTCATACAAATCTGGCAAGAATTGTACACGTGATAGTGATAACAGTGCAATCCTCCATATAATCAATATTTCCAAGCGGCATAACTCTTTTAAAAATAATTGATCCGCACTGATTTTGGAACTTGCTGATGTAACCCTATGATATACATTTCATAAAAATCTGGAAAGAATTGTACACAAGAGAGCGCTCACAATGCAATTTTCCATATGATTAATATTTCCAAGGGACATAACTCTTTTAAAAATAATTGATCGGCACTGATGTTCGAACTCGTCCAAGACATTGCTGATAAAAACCAATATCAGTTTCATAAAAATCTGGAAAGAATTGTACAAATGAGAGCGCTAACAATGCAATTTTCCATCTAATTAATGTTTCCAAGGGGCATAACTCTTTTAAAAATAGTTTATCCGCACTGATTTTGGAACTTGTCCGAGACGTTGCTGATATGAAGCTATGATATAAGTAAGAATCCTTGTCACATGTCAATAAGATATAACAGCAATTTAAAATTTGAAATAAACAGACAGGCATGCAACAATAAGAAAAGTGCATTTGTATAATTTATTCATATTTTTATTTTTACGATGAGATTAAAAATTATTTTAACGTTTTGTTTTTGTCCTCCTCAATTTAGATACACTATATTTTTAATGAAGCTTTGCAGCACAAGTGCTAAGCATATTATTCATTTTCAAAACTGAATTTCATTTTGCAGCGGTCATTGAGACACACGATTGACTTTGCAGAGTACTTACGTTTCACGAAATTAACATCCTCGACATAATAAAATTGAGAATGGAAACGGGGCATGTGTCAAAGAGACAACAACCCAACCAAAGAGCAGAACATAAATATGTTTCTTTTCTTAATTAAGAAACGGATATTCAGTTCTTTGTTTAATTTATAAACAACTTGACTGTATGTAGACCATGGCACGAACTATATGTATACATGTATATATAAAAAAAACTAATTTAAGATAACGGGCTTATAATGTTGTTCGCCAGACGCGCGTTTCGTGTACAGATGACTCATCAGCTGTACTTGAATACATACAATAAGAAGGCAAAATCATTAAAGAAGTTGAAGAGAATTGAAAACCAAAAAAAATGCAAAAGATTGTGTCACATCTGGCTAAGATCAGCTATACCAGAGGTTGGAAAACCTTAGTATTTTGAATGATTTAAAGGTTTTATGAGCAGTAAATTTACACACAAAAAAATGATGTGTCGATATATAAGAACTCTTTTCTTGCTTAAAATACATGTTTAATTTCAGCTATAGATCATATGATGTTCACTATGAATAGTGTAAATTTAGTGAAACTCTTGATGGGAATTCCATTAACACACAATGGTTAAAATATTATGGAGACTTCAGTAATCGAATTATAATGTAAAAGGACGTGTAGAGAAAATACATTGTTTATAGATAATGCTTCTTTTATGAATTAAAAATTTAATTGCTCCAAATATGCATTATTCTATTCCGGCAAACTATAGACCTCTGTTAAGGATAATCGCTCCTCTTGTTTTTGAATTTTTATCAGATATTCGGAATCCTCTGGTTTTATCCATGTAGTATCATTACAGATTTTTGCCCACTAACCCTTACTTTTCTTTTCATAATTTGATTAGATATAGTTTAAAATACCATCTTTGAAAATCTTATTAAATCCTTGTTATTTTTTCATACTTTTAGATAAAAAAAAAGGTGCCAATGTTAAATGTATGAAAAATCTAGAGAGAATCATTTCCCACCAAATTTTCAATGGCTTATATCTCGAAAACAAGCACACGGACTCTTCATTTTTATCTGCTTTTTTAGTTCCTTTATTTATATACTATCAATTTATAACTGTCTTTTAAAAAGCTTATTATTTTGAAACAGAGTTGACTGTCCCTCTGGTATCTTTCGTCCCTCTTTTTTAGCGAACATCCTTAACTGACTTCAGTCCATTTAAATGATCTTGAATTTAACTACAGATGTATTATGTGAAATTCCGCTTTTGTCAATGTTTACGGATTTTATATTTTGTGACTTGAAGTAAATTACGTTTATTAATACGATTTAATGTATTTACCTTTTTTGTTATTTAGAAATCTCGCGTCTAACAGATGCAGCAGTCAAGGTTCATTTAGAAGAAGGTACATTTGTACAAACTAGCGCAATGCCAGCTATTCTAAAAAGCTTATAGGAAAATGGTCACGTAGTAATCATGGGACCATCTGGTTCTGGATAATCTAGAATTGCATTGGAAACACTTCATCAATATTCTAAAGATTACAGCTCCTATACCATGGTAAATTTACCAAATATTTCAGAATGGCAAGAAATAATCGATATGAATGATAACTGTATTGTACTTTGCGATGACGTTTTTGGTAAGACGAATAGTATGTTTAACGAAGATATACATATAAAAAATGTCGATGCGATATACACATGTGTCAAGAGTGATCATGTTAAAGTTATATTGACAATGCCAGACAATATTAAACATAAGTGTACTACTTTAATTTCAAAACATCGGCTTTTTTGTAGTGATAATTAATAGATTTGAAATGTAAGGATTTTCGAATGAATAAGGTCGAAAAACGGAAATGTTTGTTGAATTATTTACATAAACATGGAGTTCAGGAAATCTCTGATCAAGAAGAAGAAAACTACAATACTGCGTCATGTTGTCTAAAAGATACGATATTTTTTTATTCAAATACTATAGATTGTATTATTGAAAACGAATCCAACTCGATCATTGACTTTCCTCAGGCTTGTTACATGTTCACATCTAACAGAAAATTTCTAAAACAAGGTATATCATTTTTCAAACATGCAAACGAAATTCTCTGGGAACATATTACTGACATGAAAGAGAAGGGGAATACCGATGCAAGCTATTTAGTGGATTTCACAATTTTATCATTTATTCTGCTCAACGGGGATAAAATAAATGTCGAACACCTTAATTTACAACAAATTAATAACGTTTCGTCAAGTATTTTCGGGCATCACGATAGCTCTTTTACAAAACATGACGTCGTTGAAAGCGTTATTCGTCTGCAGAATGGGAACTAATTAAAAAAAGAAAGTAATTTTTATTGCTTCCAACATCGAACTATTTTTGAGGCAGTCTTTTTATCGTGTCACAGTATCAATACAGCCAATCTGGTCCAAATGATGGATTTCGATTTTATCGTTGAAATGACAAGACCTGAAGATTATAATGAATTGGTTGGCGAAATGATTTACAAAGTATCAGAGCAGAATTATACATTGTTAGCACAACGATTGATTTTTTTCCTAGGTTATAAATATATAAATGATCCGTATTTATTTGCTAAAACAGCAAGCGAGTCACCAATTATCCAACTAACATATTTGAAAATAATAGATAATTTATGTAAAATATATAGACAAAATGAACAATATAAATGTTTTAGTAGAAGCAAGTATACATATTTAATTCCTCTTCCAACTTTTAGTGACATTCTTTGTTGGGGTTGGCTTTAACCGATTCTTTTCATCTATCAACTGCATTATTACTTTATTGCAAAAATGACGAAAACATTTTAAATTACTTTCTGAGTGATATCTGTAAAACATTGTCATCTAACGATGAATCTGTAATATTATGCAAAGAGAGTGTTAAAATATGTTTTCTTTGCTTCTGTAGAATTTTGAATGAGAAGAAAGCATGTCTTGCATGGAATGTGATTAAATCGCACAATATCAGACTTGAAGACTTAGATAGTACGGTTGAATTTGTTCAAAACGGCTTTGTTGAAGTTTTTCGAAATATTTCTTCACTTGAGCTTTTATGTCGTATTATAAATGATTCTAGAACCCCATTGTTGAATGTTGATGGATTTCTTGTTTTTTTATTTGAGAAAGATTTCAAAATTGAAAACTTAAACCTATTATTAAAAGTATTTAATCATAAGATATTTAATAAATTATTGTGGATGAATGCAGCATGCGAAATTGGTGATATGGAACTAGTCAAATGTTTCTGCGAATATTTTACATTCCGTAGTTTTGATATCATGGATATGGTGTATACAATTAAGAAGGCGTGTACAAATTGTAACACCGAACTTGTTCATCTGTTTGTAACTCATATAGCTGCAAATGATGAACTAATAGACCATGTATGGGAAGTAATCTCTATCCATAGCAGTGCAGACTTTATAAAGGCGTATTTTCAAGTGTATGGCTTTGGGCATTTCAATATGGCAGTTGTAATGAGATGGGCATGTAAAAATTGCAATATAGACTTTATAAACTGTGTTTTAGAGACCGTTGACCATTGTCTTCTTGACATGGATATTCTAATGAAGTTGGCATGTGATAATGGATATGTTGATCTTGTGTTATTTTTATTAGAATCAGTTAATCCAAAATTAATGGATCTAAATCATGTTGTAAGATTTGCCTGTGAAAGAAACAATAACGACTTACTCATATTTTTATTAACAATATGTGACCAAATTTTAATCCATATCGAATTCATATTTGCATGGGCATGCAGTAAAGCTGATGTCGAATTTCTCAAAGTTCTATTTTATACAATTGACAATGATTTATACAAAGAATCGTCTGGTATAAACTCTGTATTGGAGTGGGCCTGTCAAAATGGTGATCTCTTGTTTACTAAATTTCTGTTTGAAAAGGTGAATAAAAAATATCTTGACGTATCGGCAGCACTCAAAATAGCAGTAGACTGCAAAAATAAGGACTTAGTTATAATTCTACTTGAAATATGCAATAAAAGAAATGTAGATATAAATTCGGTGATGGCATGGATAAGTAGTAATGAAGATATTGACTACGTTGAAATTTTATTTAATACAACATCTGTTTCATCATTATCTAAAGAAAATGTGAACAAATTAACTAGACTAGCACTGGAAAATAACCGTGAAGAATTAATCATATTAATTATCGACCATTCTGAGGTGTCAAATGATCATATTAACTCTATAAATCAGCGGTCGTGCAAAAATGGTAATTTAACATTCACTAAGTTATTACTTAAAAAATTCAATACTGCATCTATTGACATAACTTCAGCCATGAGAGAAACATGCTATAGCCGAACATGTAATTTAGACATAATGAAGCTATTGGTTAAATTATGTGAAATTCCTCCTTTAGATTTCAAAATGCCGATGACGAAGGCGTGTTCATTAGGGCATTTTGCTTTGGTAAGGTTTTTATTAGATACATTTGATTGCAAAATCTTTGATATAAAATCAGTTTTCAACTGGACATGCAGTAAAGGAAATTATCGGAATGTAGTTCATTTAATTAAAACCTTTGATCATAAATTATTTGATTTTGAGTCTGCACTAAACAATGCTTGTATTACAGGAAATGGAAATGTAGTGGTTTTTCTTGTAGAAGCGAAACAACTCTACAATTGAAAATGCATGTATCAACAGGTATTTTGAAATATTTGAGTTTATGTTAGAAAGATGTGACCCCAGCTTCTTTGATATGATTTCTCTATTTAAAACTGCTTGTCATAATGGTAAGCTAGAATTCGTTGAGTTGTTATTAGAAAAAGGCTGTCGTCCACCATGGGGAGATGTCAAAAGGATAGCACAAAAAACAAACAATGATGATTTGATAAGCTTAATTCGTAAAGTATCAAGGAGGAAAAGATAATTCACGAATATATACATCACTGGGGACATATTTATACAATTATCAACGGGCATTTGAGTCAAATATTAAAACATTTGTACGTATCAACGTAGAAATACCTAAATATTTTTTTGGTTTTTTTTAATTTTTTTTTCATTTCTAAAAGAAATCTTTCCCAAAGTAAAGTATACGTGCATACTGCACAACTAATTAAAAAGAAATATGTATATAACACAGTCGACTTTCAAGGATAAAATACAGCATCAAATGATTTCCCGAGTTCATCAATGTATACAATCATTCAATGAACTACTACTTGATCAATGCGTTAACAACAAGAAAAACTGAAAACAAACAGAGGTATAGCATACTTCTACTGTATTTGATTCACTCACATGGTCTTAAATGAATATTTGTTGTCATTAAAAAATATCAAAGAGTTTATATCATTTATTTAAATCGTGTGTCAACAATATATATTTCCATATATTCAAAATTTTACATGTCATTTTAAAGTTTGCATTGCAGGACACATTCAAAATAAATGAACTGGTGCATGTTTATCTAAGCAGTCGTTGGACTAGGACATGTCCTACGACCATCTTAGTATATATCTCTATCGTAAGTGGGTTAATAAAACTTGACGAAACTAATAATATGTCCGCGAAATTGCTCTAAGTTTAGGACACCAATTTAGGATATGTATGCGTATATCTTTTTTGACAGTAATGAAATAGCCCAATATTTGCCTTTAACATCTGCTATGTATAAAACTGTAACAGACGGAATTCAACTCACACAAAAATATTTCATTATTTTTACCGATAGCATACTCATTGTTGTATTAACTTAATTATTTTTTTTTATAGAAAACGTAGTTATACTTTTATTTTGTGGTGTCTCATAAAGATTTTTATTACTATTATTATTATTATTATTATTATTATTATTATTATTATTATTAAATCGATTGGTTAATTGAAATGCATTTTCATTTTTATAAACTTTTAATTAGTTTTGCTATTTACTTCTACCCCAACACTCAAGATAGCGGTTAGGAGTTCTAGGCAGGATAATCCAAGATACCTTCGATGTGAATGATTAGGCATGTCGTAGGACAGTCCTAAGATCATCTTAAAACCGATTTTAAGATATGTCTTATGGCAGATCTTCGGAAACTCTTGATTTGCCAGATCTATCAAAACTTCAGTTTTGACTTATATTTAGGAACTTACAAGTTTGGCCGTTTGTTTTACCATAGTTTTAATGCTGAACCTCAAGGTACATACTTGATACGAGGATACTATGAATTTTAGTTCAGATTTAAAGACCTTTTTATATGGAAAATATAATAGGGGAAACTTACCTTTCATCTTTTCAATCCGATTACGATATTAGTATCGACATGTATTAATTGTTCCGATGTGTTATTTTTAATGACGTTTCATCATTCATGAATTTTCTTTGTTTCACTTTTGAATGAATCTATGTTTCTTTAATTGGAGAAGACTCAAAGTCAATGAGCTTTATTCAATTTTCCATATATTGTATGTCCTCCTTAACATTTTCAATATTATATAATGATAATAATACATGTCGGCGATAAGAATATCAAACCTGATTTCCATATGAACACTACTCAAATAAACCTGGAATAATGTTTAGAAATAGTTATCAAGATTGATGGTAGTTTCACCCTGCGTCATATTGATTTTTCAAAATTAAACAATAAAAAGTCAGACAAATATAGATGAAATGATTTTTCAGATGGTTCTATTCACATATATAAGATTAACTCATAGTAAGACCAACTTTGCAAACCTAAAAGAAATATTAAACAGCATCAAAAGTATGAGATTGTATGAACATATTAGATCGTTGATTTCCGTAAAATAACATAATTTCACATTCAAATAAAAGTTGATATTTCACACTAGTCTATACTAAAAGTCAATGTTATAAAAGAGTAAAATGTAAACTCATTTGTGAATGAATGGGTTATTCAGTCACTAGTTGAATATTTTTTTGACATTCGAATTCTTAGATTAGTTAGTCTATAATAAAATCATAAAGATAAATCTGACATTTATCATAACAGATTTTTTGCGAAATCATAATGAACATTTTTAGATTTACAAAAATTGGACAATAGGATCACTAGGAGTTTAAGCAAACACACCAGAAAAGTTATTTCTATTGTAGTCTTTCTATATGTTTACGAATATCTATAAAAGTCTATTATTCTGTAACCACATGTTTGACTGTTGTTGTTCATTTATAATTATTGATATAAAGGTGACCCGCGACGGTATCAATAACTTTTTATAAAGACAGACGCCTAACCTTATTATTTTTCCTTATTTGAGTTTAAACTAATTCATTGGTATATTTGAGACCATCTTTAGCATTTGGTGAAACCTTTGATAGAATATACCATGAGAATATTCCATGCATTAAGAGACGTGGATATGCGTTAATGATACTGCAACCGAATTAAAAAAGAAGCCTTTTTGATATGTTTTTTCTTTAGCTTTTGTTACATATTGTTTGTTTGTATTGTTTGCTTGTGATTATATATGATAGTTTTGCTTGTGATTATAGGTGACAATATTGTTTGTAAATAAAGATGATAGTATTGCTTGTGATTTAAAATGATAGTATTATTGTGATTATAGATGATAATGTCGCTTGTGATTATATATGATAACATTGTTTGTGAATAAAGATGAAAGTATTGCTTACGATAATAGATGATACTATCGTTTGTGATTATAGATGATAATATCACTAGTGATTAAAGATAATAGTTTTGCTCGTGATTATAGATAATAACATTAATTGTGATTAAAGATGATAGTATAGCTAGTTATTGAAGATACATGTAATAGTATTTCTTGTGATTATAGACAACGGCTCCCTCCACCAATTAAAACTGACCGACACGATATAACCAATAGTGCTGAAAGCGGCGTTTAACACAAACAACCAATCAATGAAGCGATAATATTGCTTGCGATTTTATATAGTGTCTCTCCTTAAAATATTTTTTGCAAAAGACATGAAAGTCGTGACAGGTTTTTTTCTCGAATATAGGAATATACGCTTTAAAATACCGCATTGTTCTTGTAGTTATTATTCAAAGATCAAGCAATGGTTTAAATCAAATAAAATATGATGGCAAACTTTCATTCTGATTCATTTTATTATTGATCTGTAAATAAACTTTACTGCTGTTTAGACTTTTTTAGACAGCTGTTTTAGAAAAAGGCAAAAATTAATGATCTGCAATGTGAGTCCTGTTGAATTAAAAAGATTTAGTCAGAAGTACATTTTATTTTGATTTGACATAAATAAACTTATCATAGATACCAGGATTGAAATTTTGTATTTACGCCAGACGCGCGTTTCGTCTACAAAAGACTAATCAGTGACGCTCGAATAAAAAAAAAGTTAAAAAGGCCAAATAAAGAACGAAATTGAAGAGCATTGAGGACCAAAAATTCCTAAAAGTTTTGCCAAAAACAGCTAAGGTAATCTATTCCTGAGGTAGAAAAGATTATAACGTATAAATCCATTCTCAGATTCCTTCAACATTTCATATAAACATAATATTAATATAATCAAAATCGAGATCGGAACATTAACGGTATCAATTTAACTGCACCAGGTGCACATTTCGGCATTACATGTTTCTGCAGTGATTCTCAAAGCCTAAATAGTTGAAAGTCCAAATCCTTATACATACTTTGAAGAGATCATAAAACCAAAAAGGGGCAAAAGTAAACCCAAACCCATCCATAGAATCAGAGCGATGCATGCGAAAGATACATTCCTTAATTTATAACGATTTCGTTTTTTATAACAGCAAATTTAAATAAAATAATATTCGAATTTCCATCCCATTACCAGAGTACTGGCTACAGGTCTTGTGATACATTCGGGGACTAACAGTCCAACAGGAAAAGTATCGAGCGAGTAGTACTAATAACACTAACAGTACCAATTGCAGTGTACCAGATGTTTATTTCTACAATTTAGTGTTTTATAGAACACACATTTTTTTTAACAGAACAACAAAAAAGAGGCTGACATCGCCATGGCAAAAAAATAGAAGAAAAGACGTCTCAAAAAACCAAAAGATTATGTTTTAGAATTTCATTACGATCAGTAATATAAATGTAATTAAAAGATCAAAGTCGAACAAAGCTCACCATGAGAGGGATTTGAACTTAAAACCTCATCATTGACAGGCAAATGATCACTGTAGACGAATTCTTTAAACAACTTTGTTGGCGTGACCCTTGTTTGTAGAGAATATCTTTTTTAATGTAACCAACTTAATTTTTATTTACAATTCAAGGAAATGCAAAATGTGTGCTTTAATCGATTTAGATATCTTCCCCTAATGCATCTTTTTTTCATGATTTGATTTATGACGCCGACTGTTGTGATATATAAGTTCTCTTTTCTTATGAATGGCATCAAGAAGACTTGTATAATAAAGTCACGTTTTCCAATAACGGCTATAAAACGAAAGTTCTTTATATGCGCATCGGGTATATTCAGTGGTAGTAGTTTAATATTTCAATCAGTATTTTTTCAATTTTGAAAATTTAATGTGTTGTTATTTAACTTAATTCAATATTTACTTAATGACAATTGGCTGCTAGTGATTGCCCAGTGAAAATGAATTGATGTACATTTATAATGAACATCACTAATAAACGAAACAAACCCCAAACAGCCAAGAATGCTTGATAAATCTTTAAGGACTCCACAACATATATGCATAAACGTTTTTTTTTTTTTGTTATTTGGACTTTGAGTATTTATGGTGGATATTTGACTGTTTCTGTTGAATTTATTCACCACTTTTGTGGACTTTGGATGAATTTGGAGCTTGATATATTTCGCAGACAGTTGTTTATTGTTTGAAACTGTAGGTTGACTGCTGCATGTACTTTGCTCATTCCTGACGACGGTGGGTTTCTGTCGCATTATCTTGTATCCTACATCTCATTTTATTTCATATTACATAACAAACAAATAGTTAACCGATTATTCAAATAATGAATATGTATAAAATCCACTACTTTAATATATAGAATTATAAAATCTATAAGTTATCGTTTACAAAATATCATATGAGGCATGTTTCAAACAATACAGTATACAGTAACATGATAGTTTATATACTTCAAACGCAATATGTTACAAATATAGTGACGCTATATGCTTCTGAGTTAACCGAGATTATAAAATGATAAATATCTGCCATCTAGTATAAAACATGTCATTGACAATGATCAGAAAAGTAAAATACACAAACACACACACATTGTTTTCTCTCAAATGAAGCTCTGGTACCAGTTATAAGAATACAGTAATGACCAATTGATATGTGTCAATTACGGCTTTGTTGAAATAATGGCTAACAACAGACACATCAACAAACATACAAAGCTTGTGTTTGTCGAAAGGGGAGCTTCATCTGAAATAAATAAAATGTTAATATTGAAAGAAAAATAAGAGGTTTCGGGCTTTAAATTTTGAACAGCATTATTTTGGTTGCATATATATATTTTAAGAAAAAAATATGGTATAAAATGAAACTTAATTAGACGTGCAATCAACCAGCATTCAATATGAACAAGATAAATGCATAAGAAGAAATCGATTAAAATTGCAATTGTATTATCATTTTATAAAACTAAAATGCCTTTAAATAGCAAAGACATTTCCACAATTTTCAACAGATTCATCTCTGTTATCATTTCAGTTGAAGGAAATATTATAACGCTGCCTCCCTCGTGTTAGAGTCGGCCACCAGAGATTACAGGTTTCATAGAAAAGGGAATTACTAACCGGTATTCTTTATAACAGTAAAATGTAAAGCCCGACGTCTAATTGGAATACCGTCGAACAAACACACTTTATAGATTCGTTAAACCTATTTTTCTAGAGGTCTATCTATTTTATATATGATTAAGAATAACAGACATGAAATATAATAGTTTTGATCATTCATTTTACAATTATACAATTATACACGCGGAGAGAATAGCTGTACAGGCTCTGTCATTGGTCTGGTCGGATCCCCGGTATGGTTGGTCTAATACATTATATATGTAGAACTCGGAGGTGCGATGGAGACGCTGATGTGCAATGGTCACGCCGAAGTGCGACGGGTCACGCTGAAGTGCGACGGGTCACGCTGATGTCCGATTGTATATTTTACACCTGATGGCTAGTTAACAATCTAGAGATGCTCCATTATTATGAGAAATGAATATTTTTTAATAGTAACTATATAAATTTGCATTCGTTGATTGTCTATTGTTATCCTTATATATAGTAGCAGTTGCAAACTACATGAGAGATCGTCCTCTTTGATTTTCTGCATGTGAACATAATTCTGCATTAACATTTTATCTTTACTTGGTTGCTTTCATGAGTTCCACATTTACTGTAATATAAGTATGATACGGAGAGTCTAAGGCTGTCTGCGGACCCGAATATATTTAGAGAAGGACACGCTCCATCGTACGTCAACAAAAAACTTTTATAGATTTCTTTTATAGATTTCGAAAAAAATCCGCTACATAAGGTTAACTTTCCCCTCTCCACCAACCACTCTCCGTTTCCCGTAATATTAAAAGTTTATAAGCCCATTATTAACTTTTCAGAACCCGAAAAACTACTTCTAACAAACAAATTGAATTCTTCATCGCCTTTAAAATCATTGATAATATAGTTTATACGGTCCATCGCACTTCAGCGTTACCACCATCGCACTTCGGCGTATCCATCTACAAGATGGCGTCACAATGCTACCATCGCACTCCAAAAACGCACTTCGGCGTCAAACCATCGCACATCAGCGTGACCATCGCGGTTCAGAGTCCTACATATATATCAATCAAAAATCACCACTCTGCTAACTTCGACTAGTTTTACAACTACAAGTAGCGTAAAGCTCGACCAGGCTTACAAAGGTGCCTTCAAAGAACACCTATAAAATTCGTATGTAGCCTTAATTTAACAACATTTATTTCAAATATTTATCAGCTTTAAAATACTTGCTACTATTGTCTCAAAGACACCAAGTATTTACACCCCGATTTGTCACCGACTATTTGCACCAAGATCAATCAATACAAAATTGCACCCGAACTTGTCACCGTATATTTGCACCCAAACTTGTCACCTAGATATGTCAACGATCAATTTACACCTAGACTTCTCACCCAACAATTTACACATAGCAAATGTCACCATCTTGCATCCGTAATACACTATAACTATTTGCGTTTTGGCTATAGAATTTTTAATATTAATTTAGGTGCAATTTCCTTACTTTTCCTATATCACTTAAATTATCAGACATTTTAAATTAGGCGCTTCGTAACATTCAAACAACAAACAATCACTGCTCTCCGTAGTTGATCTTTTAAATTTTATTCGCCGATCAGCCAATCACAGACGCGTTTACTTACGTTGAACCAATCAGCGGCCATCTCTCTGTTTAATGAAATTCTCGAAATGGCAAGCCAAAATGTAAACACTGGAAGTTTTGTGTAAATAAAGATGATTTCTAGCTTAATATCAATGAGAACAAATAAATTTATTCATCACGAAGGATTTTGCTCATACAGAATAACTTAAGAACACGTGTAAAAAGGTTAATATATCAAATTAACAACAGAAATATAGGTACCGGCACTCTTCCAAATTTGTCACCGCGAGCAGTCATAACATCAATTGAAACACCATAAATATAACTCATCATTCCGATAATTAACCAGGATAATATTGTTTAAGTGACAAACTATTGTTTTACCAATTCAAGCAGTTATTCCAAATTTAGGAATGACCCCATAAAGTGTTCAGACTTCGTCTGACCAACACTGATTTTTTACCAAAAGAAACACTTTATTTCTCAACATGACAATCAATATTAGTACAATTATCATATCAAATAGACTCATTTGCATAGCATAACCTTTCACAGACATCTAACCCGTATTATTATTTGTACTTAATAACAGCACAGAAAGTTATGTTCAAAAAGGGGGTGGACGGCATTACAATATCACCTTCTGACAACATTGAATTCTAATATAGAAAACATATCAGACTAGTTATTCGTCACTAAGGTTTGTAAATCACTTCCATGAACTCATTATAATAAGACAACACTTCAAAATAATAAATATTTTTACTGACAACAATGGATTGAATGATAAAAACAGACTTACTGAAGTAGGAAGACAAATCATCTATGCTCCATTTGTTTGCACTACTACCGGGCTCGTGGTCTCTATCCGAGGACCCGTCATTTGTAGGCCCGCTGTTAACTTTATCCACTTCATTAGAACCACCTACAACATGCCACACAAAAAGATAATTGCATTCTTAACTTGCAGGTAAAACAAATAGTTGTCGCAAAAAGAACGTTAAGATGGGTTTCCAGATATCTTTCGTTCGTATTTTCACAATTCCTTTCTCTTTCCTTTAATGCGACATCCTCGAAAAAGATTTATCAACACAATTGTACTAACGATCCTTTGTTTTGGTAGGGCTCGTGTTTCTAAGTCTTTAGTTTTCTATATTGTGTTTTGCAGTCTGTTGTTTTTAATTTCGTATTTTTTAAGTATTTTGTGTTTTCAGTCTGTTTTTGAATTATGATTTACAATATCCCCTGGTTTCTGTCGCCTTTCTCTTAAATACGAAATGTACTGTATCCCTAAAAAATATGTGAACCTTTTTTATGAAAACCGTGAATCCTGTCTCTTTCAGGATCGTATGTTGCTAAATTCACCAATTACTTTTGCACATTTTGTGTTTTCAGTCTGTTTTCGAATTATGATTTAGAATATCCCCTGGTTTCTTTCGCCTCTCTTTTAAATACGAAATGTATTGTATCCTTAAAAAAATATTTTAACCTTTTATTATCAAAATCGTGGTTCCTGTCTCTTTCAGGATCGTATGTTGCTAAATTTATTAATTACTTTTGCATATTTATATGTATGTATATATATATATCTTTCATTAAAAACACTGTATCAGTTATGGCATGTATGGTGGATATCACAACCTACCGCGTAAGTCGACACTTAAAACCTTCACAGTTTAATGTAAAATATTATTCTTTAGTAGATCACTGATGCCCATTTCTTACGACTTATATAAATGAAAAGTACCACCAAAATATTTTATTATGAAAACAAATCGTGACATCTTTCATTTCATATGTGTTGTAGAATGCACACCGATCTCAAATCTACTCGTTCCAAATTGAAAATATCGGAGGCAATTATTCGCCAACCAATCATTATGCTTATCACACATTGTTACAGTAATGTCATGAAAATAGTTAATAGAACCGCGTTTATACTACAAAATATTTCACTTGTCGACATGCTTTAGGTCCAATGGAAAACATTCGATACATATAGGACAACTGCTTGTATGATGGTCAATTTCAGTTCTGAAACTCTCGGGAAATTCAAAACCAAAAACATGATCTCCACAAAGGCGTGAACAACAAAATAATTTAAACAAATGCAAGACGAAAGTATGGCCAAAAAATTAAAGATTAATCACAATGAAACACTCCTCACTTCAATGGCGTTTGTGAATGGCATAGAATTTTAGTCGAGGATTTTTATTTCAAAATATGACCATAATCGAAAAATAGTTCATTTTGAAAAAATTAATAAAACTGAACTAGCTGCTAGCAAAACTTTCAAAACTAACAAGAACTTTATCTGTAGAATGACAACCGTATTTTTACTTTTTATAAGTTTAAAGCGAACAAATTAACTGAATGTGGTTGGGGTTAACGCCAATCAAAGAAGACTGTTTGTAAAGATCTCCATATTTAAAAACCATTTTGCGAATTCGTACCAATTAAACCACAGATAAGACACTAAAATGTTTAAACTACCTGGTCCCTGTCCTTGATCTGGTTTTGGCCATCCCTTTTCTGGATCTGCAAAAACAGCAAAATCAAATTAAAATTTCGGGGCCTTTTATAGCTTACTATGCGGTATGGGTTTTGTTCATTGTTGAATGCCGTTCGTTAACCTAGAGTTGTTAACTTCTATGTCATTTGGTCTCTGGTGGAGAGTTGTCTCATTGGCAATCATACCACGTCTTCTTATTTTTATATTGAAAAATTATGTGCATGTTTAAATATATAGGGAGTACACTTTAGAAATAGTATACTATTTAAAAAGATGACTCTTTTTTTATTAAAATCTGTAACAAGGAAATGATAGACCGTGAGCAGGAAAATCTACATGCAAATGGTGCATTGTTTAGGTAGAACGTAATGAAAAATCTGTATCACAGATGACCATCGACATTTTCATTGTTTCTGCTCATAATTTTGTCTTCCTCGTTTGTGACTATCGCCGGAAAGCTATTTATTACGGGACATCCACACGACATTAGCATTACAAGGGATGCTATTAGTGGAACCAAACTGATCATTTTCTATATTTTCTTTGATGTCCTCTAACTTTTGTGCTGCTTCAAACTATAAATACAGCAATATCAAAAAGAAGTTTTGTAGAATACACACCAACATAAATAAATAGATGCCAATAAACTAATCATAGATATCAGGATTGAAGTTTTGTATTTGCGCCAGACGCGCGTTTCGTCTACAAAAGACTCATCAGTGACGCTCGAATAAAAAAAAGTTAAAAAAAAGGCCAAATAAAGTACGAAGTTGAAGAGCATTGAGGACCAAAAATTCCTAAAAGTTTTGCAAAATACAGCTGAGGTAGGAAAGCCTTAGTATTTCAAAAATGTAAAGTTTTGTAAACAGTTAATTTATAATTATGACCATATCAATGATCATTCGTGTCAACACAGAAGTGATGACTACTAGGCTGGTCATACCCTCAGGGAATAAAAATAAACCTTATTGAAGTCCCTTTTAAATGAGACTGTACACCAACTATCAAGATAAAGAACATTTACTAAATTTTGATATACCAGGAGACATGGGGGTAAACTTTAAGAAATGGCATCCCAACGGCCCCTTAAAATCACTGACGTCATAGGGTCTTACGTTCTAACTATAAACACTTTCTATGTAATTATGGACAACACAAATGCCGGTTATCAGCAATGCGCATTTGGTGCAGTAAAATTGGTACAGTTAACGTTAGTATTTGTTTTCCAGAATTCGTTGGGCCATTTTTCTCTCATTGTCACCAACCCATACCCTTTCTACTCCAGGCTGACAATGAATTAATATTCATTTACATTTGTTTTAATAGTATATCTTTGTTTAATTACAAAGATGTTAGAGCAACGTCTAATCATGTTGAAATAATCAATCAATCCAAGACCGTATGTATGTCTAATTCTACAAATTCATAAAACGAGATTTTATTAGGAACAGCTCAATACTTACAACACCTTTCTTTGGCTTCATCAGTGTGGGTTAAGCAGTCATAGTATCCATCACACATGAACTCCTCCAAGATACATCTATCTTCTCCACATGCAGCATAGCCTGGTTTACATTCCTCTATCATAAGATACGATATCCCATATGATTGTAATCAGTTGTGATAAAGAATTTCTTTTCCTAATGTACGTTTTTTATTTCCGAAGTTTAAATGAGTGATTGAAAGTTTTTAAATTAAAGTCCATTGAGTAATTATACCCCACATCTCGTTTTAATGAGAGAAAAACACCTTGCATGACGACGTGATAGGTGGTTCACGGAAACGGTAAATATCTGAATGGATTTTGAAAAAATCGTCAAAGATACCAGACTTATAAATTGTTGCTTTTACGCTCAACAACAATACTATATTCATAAGCATGATCGTCACCGCCACAATCGATTTGTTCTGTAAAATGCTGTTAGATAATATACCAGAAAATGTGGACTGAAATGCAATTCACTTATATACATCTACTTACCCTTAATTGGTCGATCTGGGGAAAAAAGAAATAACCATTAGTTTAATATTCAAGAAAATACAGTTCCGATGAGTGTACACGTCAAGTTTTAATAACATTAGATATACTTAAAAACAAAGGTTTCACTCACAAAAACAAGAGTCATTACAATTGGCAAAACTTAATGAGGCATCATTAACACATTCAATTTCCAATCTTGTTGCTAATATTTCACAGTATTCATTACAGTCAATGCTTTACCGACACGAAAATTCCAAAAAAATAATATTTCCATAATGCAATACATTTCTTTCGTCATTAATTCAAATAATGCAAAAAAATATCTATACATGTAATTCAAACACATCAATTGATATGGTTTTGGATTTTCAAACATTTTGGCCTCATTATTAGTCGAAATTCGCGTCTGGTGCGGTAAAATTTGTTCCGTTATTGTAATTTATTATGATCTATTTCAACTAAGTACATTTGGATTTTAATCTTTTAAAATAAGTCAATAAATGAATACCACAGAAAAGTTCATCCTCTTCATCTGGACAGTCTCGGATACGATCACAAAGTCTGTTGGCTGGTATGCAAGTTCCAGTCAAACACTGGAAATGTGTTGGTGAGGAACATGCTGTAAACAAATAAAATATGTAGACAAAGTATTTTTAAAGCAATCTACTGTTATTTTGATGTATTATGTATTAAAAAGACATAAAGCAGCGATACAACAAGCTTTATTGTAGCTGAACATAATTTGACGTGGAGCTAACATCAATGGGGAAGTAACACTGTATCATCGCAAATTATAAATAAGTATTACACATTATCACATGTATGTTATAAGTTAAGGAAAAAGTAAAATAACAAAAATACCGAACTCCGAGGAAAATTCTAAACGGAAAGTCCCTAAGCAAATGGCAAAATCAAAAGCTCAAACACATCAAACGAATGGATAACAACTGTCATATTCCTGACTTGGTACAGGCATTTTCTTATGTAGAAAATGTGAATTTCTGTATAGTAACGTAATTGGTCTCGATATTTCTATGCGACGCAGTATAATTTGTATCACTGGTCTGTTCTCTTTTGTTATTAATGATGTTATGATAGAGTTGATATTGTTGTGATGTCATATCAAAATTTTATCATAAAATCAAAGGATTATTGCAATAGAATTTGCAAATACATTGCAACCTCGTCCAATATTATATCATAATTTAATGATATTTATAATTTTTTGTGCAACAATATTAAATATAACTTACGACAGTCCTGTTCATCTTCAGCGTCCATTCCACAATCAATGTAGACGTCACATCTTTTTGCAATAGACAGACATGTTCCATCATTGCATTGGAATTTGAATGGGTTGTTCTTACAATCTTAATATTTCAATATAAAAAGTGACAAATGTTAAACACCAACTATGCATATCATTATGTATTCATCTCATGAAAACATTACCATAATTCAATGCGAAACTGTTCAAAGTTGATATGAACTTCAAGGGCCATTGTCTATAATTCTAAACATGACTTGATGTCGGCGTTGCATAAAAATCCGGATTGATCATCTCAATATCAATTTTTTATCAAATATAAACTATATAAGCCATATAAGCGGGAGGTTTGGCTAGCCATAAAACCAGGTTCAACCAACCATGTTTTCTTAAAATGTCCTGTACCAAGTAAGGAATACGGCAGTTGTTATCAAATAGTCCGTTTCTATGTATGTTGGCGTTTGTTTTTGTAGCAGTTCAGTGTTTATGTTGTTCCGTCGTTTTCCTCTTATGATTGATGTGTTTCCCTCGGTTTTGGTTTGTGACCCGGATTTGTTTCAGTTAAATCGATTTATGACTATTGAACAGCGGTATACTACTGTTTCTTTTAAATATAAGGAGATATTGTATGATTGCCAATGAGACAACTATCCACCAAAGTTCAAACAAATTGGATGTAAGCAGTTATAGGTAACAGTACGGCCTTCATTCAGTTGAAAAAGGATTAACTCATCAGATCGATAAAAAGTAGAAAAAACATCAAACAAAAACTCAGACCTGAGATTTGAGAGTACTCGCAGTTACTGACAGCTAGTTCAAAGCCAATAACAACTAATAAAAAAATCATGTATCTAAGACTAAAATATCAATCTTATAGTACACTTATATTACGAATGGGTACAAAATTTCAGCATTAATATATTTTGAGGCAGATATTTTGATATGAACTATTGAAAATTATTTTCTTCTCAGTACACTTTTAAATGATGAAAATTATACATTTCATCAATCAAATTCAATTGCTTAATAGCTCATAAGACTGTAACATCAATATTTTATTTGAAGTCACATTGATAGGTCATGCAACCATAACGAAAAAGCTAAATCTGCAATTCATTTATATCGTATTTCTTAATTATGTTTGTTTGTTTCCAGAGCTTAGATGATAGTGCTTTCTAAATTTCAAATATAACTTTTCTTATTTCAGTAATTTGTATACATTATTGAACCAGTTATAAAAAGATATGAAGAAACTTACCACACTTTTCTTCATCCCACCCTGTTATACAATCCACAGTTCTGTCACAAATGTAACTGTTACTAATGCATTTGCCGTTATCATCATCGTCACATCTTGAGTGGGTTTTAAGGTCACATGCTGAATAACCAAAATGTTCATAGTAGATGAAAGTCAAATAATACCTTAGTTTTGAACTTTCAAATTCAATCATAGTCAAAATTTACAAAAGTAATTACACAATAAGCTGTAAAATCGAATATCCATCTTTCGAAACAAATCGAGTATTTACAGACCACCATCCTGAATCAGAATAAATTATATGCCACTTGACGTCCATACACTATAGAACCATCTACCTAGTGTTTTTGCAACACAAGTTTCTTTTCAATGATATCTATTTCTACTTACAGTTTAGTTAAATACTATTAGTATACTTCATGTCAAAATGCCAGATTTTGATTGGTTGATACGAGGGAGACAATTTACTCTATTCCATGGCAAATACTCTATTATCCTTCACGGAGACGCTTGCTCAAATGTGCGCTTTAATAAATACGGATGATTGTTATGTGTAAGACGACATGGTTTATTACTTTGAATTTGAATTTGAAATTTGATAGACAGTAATAACAGAACATTCAGTATAATAAATAAATTATTAAATAACACATAGCCGAGAGGGTGATAGAGCAGATTGTTACCCCTCGAAAAGACATTGTCAACCTTGGCTTCGCCTCAGTTGACAATGTTTTCTCGGGGTAACAATCTGCTCTATCACCCTCTCAGATATGTGTTATTTATATAATGAACTGCGAATAAGCTTCATTCAATATAAAATATTTTACCTATAGCAACACCAAAAACGTTTCAAAAATTTGATATCTTTTTTTTTTGCAGTGATACCCCTTCACATACACGGATTGTTCTTATGAGTCCTTACGGCTCGCAAACTTGTAGTCAATAGCAAGTATCCGTAAAAAAACTTGCTAGTATCCGTACGTAACTAGCAACAACCCGCAGACAATCTTAAGGATCCGTGAAAGGAGAGGCAAACTTTTGGACATGTCAAAAAAACTTATTACGATTGTCCATGGATTAGGTTTTCCGTAAATAAATCGTAACAATCTGTAAGTATCTATCGTAAACTGCTCGCAACAACACGTAACCATCCGTAAACTACTCATAAGAATCTGTAAATGACTCGTAACAAATATTTTAAAGATTTCTTACGGTAAGTTAACGATTTGTTTACGGATTATTTACCTATTATTACAAGTGCTTGCGTGTTGCTCACGTTTTCATTCGGGTCGTGTTACAATAGCTTTACTTATTACGAGCAATTTACGTGAAGTTATGAGTACTTTATGAAAATATACGTATACTTTACGTATTCTTACGTATTGTTTACGATTTGGAGAAAGGTATAAAAGCTGCGAAATCGTAAGGACTTGTGTAAATACTCATAACTAACTCGTAACTATTCGTAACAACACATTAACAGGTCCTAACTAATACATAAAAGCTCTGATGAATAGTAACATTCTGTAATATACTCGTAACAATCCTTTAAAAGCTCGTACAATGCCAGAAAGTTTTTCGTAGTTATTCGTGACAACTCGTTACAATTCGTGGAATTTTACCGTAAATACATCGTAATAACTCGTAGCAACTCTTAAATCGGTCGTAAAAGAGGCCAAATCGTAAGAATCCATAAATTCGTGCGATCCATTAATACTTGTGAGAAAAATTTGTGTATGTGAAGGGGCATAAGCAGGTGATGACATAGAAATCCTTTCAGACCAGTTTGCTTAAACTCATATTACAGTTTTAATAAGAATTGAAAAAAGGAAAAATAATATGTCTGCTGTGTTGCATTTACCTAGGTAAAACTCATACTAAATAATTGGGATGAGGAAAACCAAGGTATTACGGACCCGATAAGAATAACAAAATTTATATTAGAGAACATTGCTTAATTGCGACATAGAAGTAAAATTCACGAATTTGTTTAATAGAAATAAAAGAATTAATTGATAATTTACCGTTAAACATAAGTATTTATTGTTGGTTGGATAACACCTTCGGGGAATGACCATTTCGGCATAAACTATCGGTTCGAAGTTATGGTTGTAAATATCGCCCATATGAATCTTTTACGAAATACTAAGGCAAATATATGTCATCATTACCACAAATAGGTGCAAGCCTCGTTTTAGTTCAAATGTACACAATTTTCTCGTTGAAAATTGAAGGAAACAAGAATGTGTCCATAGTACACGGATGCCCCACTCGCACTATCATTGTCTATGTTCAGTGGACCGTGAAATTGGGGTCAAAACTCTAATTTGGCATTAAAATTAGAAAGATCATATCATAGGGAACATGTGTACTAAGTTGTTTCAATTTGATTGAACTTCAACTTCATCAAAAACTACCTTGACCAAAAACGAAGACAGTCTGTAAAATTATAAAATCAAAACTACGATATAAGTATTGAATATAATTTAGTCATTTTCTCCCTTTCTTTTTTAGCTCTCGTATAGTAGTGGACGAACTTACGACAGTCCATTTCATCTTTCATATTTGCGCAATCTGCTATCTCATCACATCTACGATCCTTAACTATACACTTCCCATCTCCACAGTCAAAAGCATCAGGACTGCATTGATTAGTGTCAGAATCTACAAAAGTTTTCATAACTCCTTATACCAAACATTTTAACAAAAAAAAATCTTTCCTACACCTTTGTGAAATCAAAAGATGAAGACATAAGAGTTATATCATCAGCAGGTGTATACAATTTAAATGTAAAAATTCATAAGGGGTTCCGCAGAACCCTGTGTCTCGCCTGCTATTGCTGCTGTTAGTGTTAAAGTGTAATGCTGACTTAAAAAGTGACTCCATTTATCAGTAAAAAACAGAATTAAAAAAAAAATTCTTTGGATGCTCTTTCTTGGTCTTGAAGATTAACTTTTGTCCAAGTTTCATAACAATCCATGACGGTTTACACATTTATCATGTCAAACAAATTTAATCCCAGACTGTCTGTAATTGAAGTCTATCTATCAGAAAAATACTAAAAATGAAAAAAATATATTTTCAAAGGTTTGCTTCAGACATTATCTATTAATCATTAAAAAACGTCTGCCAAAGTTTCATAAAACTCTACGTAGGTTTGACATAGTAATTGATGTGTAACAAACTTTAACCCCAGACTGTATCTACTTTTTTAACATTAAACAAACAAAGTCCATTTATCAGTAAAATACGGACAATTGAAAAGAAATATTTTCAAAATTTCGCTCTGGATACTGTACTTTGGTCATAAACAAGCTTCTATCCAAATTTCATAAATTTCCATGAAGGTTTGGCTTCTATCCAAATTTCATAAATTTCCATGAAGGTTTGACAAAGTTTTTGATGACTGAAAAACTTTAACCTCAGACTGAGCCTAAGTGTTAACTGTAAAACAATTAAGTTCACTTATCAGAAAAATACGGAAAAATGAAAATAAATATTTTCAAAATTAAGCTCTGGATACTGTCTGTTGGTCATAAATAAGCTTCTGTCCAAATTTCATAAAATTCCGTGAAGGTTTAACAAAGTTATTGGTGACTGAAATACTTTAACCTCAGACTAAATATAAATGTTAACTGTAAAAAAAACTAAGTCCATTTATTAGTAAAATATAGAATAAAATGCTCCGCTTGATACAGCTTTGCATTTGGATTGTGATTAAATATTTGACACAGCATAGGTTTCTGACACAGAATAAATGTGGTCTAAGAACTTAAAAATTTTAAATTGGACATTCACCTATTATGGTCTAATATCCAAAATCTAAATAAATGGTTAGATTCAGCATATCAAAGAACCCCAAGAATTCAATTTTTGATGAAATCAAACAAATTTTAATTTTGGACCCTTTTGACCTCAATGTGGACAAAGTTGATAACGGGGCCCAAAAATCAAAAATCTAAATACATGGTTAGATTCAGCATATCAAAGAACCCCATATATTCAATTTTTGTTGAAATCAAACAAAGTTTAATTTTGGACCCCGATTTGGACCAACTTGAAAACTGGGCCCATAATCAAAAATCTAAATACGTGTTTAGATTCAGCATATCAAAGAACCCTAAGAATTCAATTTTTGTTAAAATCAAACTAAGTTTTATTTTGGACCCTTTGGACCTTAATGTAGACCAATTTGAAAACGGAACCAAAAATTAAGAATCTAAATACACGGTTAGATTCGGCATATCAAAGAACCCAAATAATTCAATTTTTGATGAAATCAAACAAAGTTTAATTTTGGACCCTTTGGACCTCAATGTGGACCAATTTAAAAACGGGGCCCAAAATCCAAAATCTAAATACACGGTTAGATTCAGCATATTAAAGAACCCCAAGAATTCAAGAATAAAACCCCATTGAAATTGGTCAAGAAATAAGCAATTTATACGAAGTATCTTCTTTTGCACAATACTGTGCAATTAAATATTTCTTGCTATTGCGCAATACTGTACAATTGACAATTTCTTGCTATTGCGCAATATTGTGCTATTGGATATTTCTTGCTATTGCGCAATCCTGTGCAATTGAAGATTTCTTGCTATTGCGCAATACTGTGCAATTGAAGATTTCTTGCTATTGTGCAATACTGTGCAATTGAAAATTTCTTGCTATTGCACAATACTTATTATATAATAATTTACACATCCTGTTTGGTGTGTATCTCCCACCATATCATTATTATTTGCTTTTAAATATAAATCAGAAATAACCAACTTAAAATGGAAAATTTTAAAAGAAAAAAAAAAAGGAAAAAAAAAGAAATCCCCCCCCCCCCCCCCAATTTTTTGAACCCCCTTATGATTCATCACCCCCAAACTTAATCCTCACCTTCCCTTTGTGGTATGGTACCTTGCAGTACAATTTCAGAGAGATCCATACACTTGAACACAAGTTATTGTCTGGAAACTAGAAAAATGTGTTTTTTGGCCCCTTTTTGGCCCCAAATTCCTAAACGTTTAGGGCAATTACCCCCAAACTCAAACCCAGCTTTCCCTTTGTGATATGGAACCTTGTAGTACAATTTCAGAAAGATCCATACACTTACACACAAGTTATTGTCCTGAAACTAGAAAAATGCTTGTTTTTTGCCCCTTTTTGGCCCCTAATTCCTAAAATATTGAGGCAATTACCCCCATCATCATCCCAGCCTTCCCTTTGTGGTATGGTACCTTGCAGTACAATTTCAGAGAGATCCATACACTTGAACACAAGTTATTGTCTGGAAACTAGAAAAATGCTTATTTTTGGCCCCTTTTTGGCCCCCAATTCCTAAACGTTTCGGCAATTACCCCCAAACTCAATTCCAGCTTTCCCTTTATGATATGGAACCCTGTAGTACAATTTCAGAAAGATCCATATACTTACACACAAGTTATTGTCATGAAACTAGAAAAATGCTTGTTTTTTTGCCCCTTTTTTGGCCCCTAATTCCTAAAATTTTGAGGCAATTGCCCACAAAATCAATCCCAGCATTCCTTTTGTGATATGGAACCTTGTGGTACAATGTCAGAGAGATCCATACACTAACACACAAGTTATGTCTGGAAGATACAAAAATGCTAATTCCTTTACTGTTGGTACCATAACCCCCAAAATCAATCCCAACCTTCCTTTTGTGGTATTGAACCTTGTGGTAAAATTTCATAGAGATCCATTCACTTAAACTAAAGTTAGAGTGCGAAAACCAATGTGTCTTCGGACGACGCCGGACGACGCCAGACGACGACGACGACGACGACGACGACGACGACGACGCCAACGTCATACCAATATACGACCACAAAAATTTTTTTGCGGTCGTATAAAAATGAAAATAAATATTTTCAAAATTTTTCACTGGATACAACATTTAAGTCATAAACAAGCTTCTGTTCAAATTTCATAAAATTCCATGTAGGTTTGACAAAGTTATTGATGAATAAAAAAAACTATAACCACAGACTGAACCTAAATGTTGACGCCGCCGACGCCGACGACGGAATCTAGGATCGCTATGTCTCGCTTTCGTGAAATAAATTTCGCAGGCTCGACAAAAATCAGTTCTGTTGTATTTGGTAAAATTGTAGTTATTGATAGAATGTTAACTTATCACTTGCTTAATTATAGAAATGTATAAACTAAATCTTTACAAATCTAGAACAATGAATCATGGTTGATGATACCACCGGAACTAGGTAATAGTCTATCCAAAGTTTTATAAACTCTTTGCTCAAATATTAATTACTAGTCAAATTGCTAGAATAATAATACCAAGATATCATAAAATAAACGGAGAATTAAAGTCGGATATAAGTATTGCAAACATGTAAGACATTAGATTAGAAAGAAATATTTGATCAGGGATGGGCTCGAGTGTCGGTTTTGTTGTTACTGAAATCTGTACCTGTATTTTTTTAGATAGTACATTGATATTTCATGTATATGTTAGGGGTAATAAGTGAAATTAGGCATTAAGCTTAAACCCTAGGCAATAAGCTAACGCCTCGGCAGTAAGTCTATTGCCTAATAATGTTAGTTATTACTCTTAAATCTTAGGATTTAAACTTAAATCCTGAAAATTATGTCCAGGCATTAATGTTAATACCCAAATGTAAATGAGAGTAAATAAAAAGAAAGTTATTCAAAGTTAAAATACATTTGGTACATAATTAAAAAAATAAGAACTGAAGTTTAAATGTGAATTACCTAAAATAAAATAATTAGTAAACTATTGATAACAAAACTCATTGAATATACCTCTTAAAATATATGTAAACTTGTTGGATAGTTGTCTCATTGGCAATCATACCACATCTCTTTATTTTAATATTGATAGAAAATTGTATTGAAATTTATTTGTTACCACTTGGTGCGGAGATATTGCAAAGTCTTAAGTTTCTAGCATTTTCATCTGTGATCGTTCAATACATTTGTGTAGAACAGAATTTTTTTGTATATGGACGAATTTTATTCCAATTGACCACTTAGTTAATTCGTTTTCCCCCATCCATGCAGTAAGCATGCCATAACTATTTCTGTTTGACCACTCAAACTACCCTGTGATTGGCGATGTATTGGCTTCCAGTGAACAGTAACTAGTTCTGGCCACATTAGCATTAATTCGGATATAACAAAAACTGTAAATTCACGACTTTGGCACTTTGCTGTTCATGTGGCACACCAAATATTGTGAAAACATCAATTAAATTAGAAGCCATCCTTTGAAACACTTTTTGACGCAAGAGCTCTAATAGTACAAAATTTTGGTATGTGATCTTGGTACACCATTAGACATTATAGTTTCCATCTGACTTTGATTGGAAATCCATTAAATCAACCTGTCCTCTTCCGTATAACTCTTTAGATAAGATGGGTTTTACTACTACCCCTTCCCTATGCGCTTTTTATTGTGTTATAATTTTAACAAAATGGAAGAAATGGTACATGGAAAATGTTTGCAATCCATTATTAGGTTGATTAATATATTATACGGTCTACAATAATAATGGGCCGCTATGACCTATTTCTTTATGTGTTTTCCCAAAATACCACACAATTCCTCTAGAAAATAACATAAACTTTGAAATTTCCATCATCATTCTTGTTTCCTTTAGTAACAAGTCATTCAAACCTTCAATGTTAAAAAATGTCATACCATTTTAGTTGTAATAGTCTATAGCTGCCTTCTTTTCTGTTGCCAAAAATTTAATATTTGCCAAATGATCATCGTACTTTTCCCTTGGGTATATGATCTTTGTTTTTCCTGATTCAAATTTAGATTCCGGAAAGATTCAAGAAATGTGTTGTCGCCTAAATGCTAATAATCCAAATAAAGACTAAACAGGCTCCGTGTTGAAGGCCGTACTTTGACCTATAATGGTTTACTTTTACAAAGTGTGACTTGGATGGAGAGTTGTCTCATTGGCACTCATACCACATCTTCTTATATCTATTTAAGAACATTTATATATTTAATAAAACCGATGGAAAGATAATGTAACTGGCAACAATTCATATCTACAGTTGTCTATTTGTGACCAGTTCAAACCGGCTCGATTAGTGAAGAGTGAATTTTCTTTAGATAACTTTCACATAGAATCTTCAATTTCCCCTTTTTCAATTTGACACAATTACTTATCTAAAACTCATTATTTTTGCAATACCACAAAGAAATACGAGAAGTTATGCTTTGAATACGAAAAATTGAAGATCTTTTAAATGAATGTATAAAATTGAGAATGAAAATGGGGAATGTGTCAAAGAGACAACAACCCGACCATAGAGCAGACAACAGCCGAAGGCCACCAATGGGTCTTCAATGCAGCGAGAAACTCCCGCACCCGGAGGCGTCATTCAGCTGGCCCCTTAACAAATATGTATACTAGTTCAGTGATAATGGACGTCATACTAAACTATTAATTTTTGGAATATAATTTTTAAATATCATTCATAAAGAATATTTCATCGAATGAACATGTATTTGGAATATAAAACAATTATCCCCAAATTTAACTTATTTCCTGAAATGATGTTTGGCAATAGGTTGAATAATCTTCATCAGATTTCAGGAAATAAGCTTAATGCTTGAAAATTTCAGGCAATAACTTAATTCCTAGGCGTTAGCCTATTACCTAGGATTTAAGCTTAGTGCCTAATTTCACTTATTGCCGCTAACATATACATAAATCTTGTAAATATACCAAATGAACCAAATGGGCATAAAATAACACGGAATGTGATTATGTAAAAGTTGAATTGACATAACGAATGTAAGACTATGAGAAACTCTGACTAAATGGAGACAAATATTAGATGAATTCAATGATAAATGTCTGCTCAGATAGACGATGGATATGCCTTTTGTCGTAACAACAATCCCGTCCTCTTTTCCACTAATGTGACATCATTGATAGAGACTTTGTCACCAAACTTTTACTTAAATTAGCAAAACGACGGGTGTCACATGTGGAACAATATCTGCTTACACTTCCGGAGCACGTGAGATCACAAAGGGTTTTGTTGGGGTTCGTGTTGCTCAGTCTTTAGGTATCAATGCCTTTGAAAAACACTTATTATTTTTGGTATGTAAACCATGTTTTATATAAGTTAGACGGTTTAGCGTTCACTTACTTTCATTGTCATTTGATTAAGTAGAAAAAAAACTACCACACTTATAGAACCTTAAGTGAGTAAACTGACATACCCCACGCCCCTTGTAAAGGAGAAAAACTTCTTGTGACATAATGGCATAGTTGATTCTGTTTACTTTCAGGAATGATTTTTTTCTGTTATGAGTTTAGACAATAATGTTGTCTTAAACACATCTACGTTTAGAAACTATGATCTCGACCTTAGATCAAGTGATTTCAAAATCAATAGGGATCTAACACTTATCATATGTTACCATATATCAAAGTCAGGTTTGAATCCCATTTTTAGTTTTTGATTCGACATTGAGAAACCTCTTTTTCTGCACAAATTTTGGTCTATTTTAGATAACTATTTAATTGACCTTTGAGTTGTTGACCTCAAAATCTACCGAGAGTTTCCTCTAATTATACATGAATGACGTAAGTCTTTAAAATGCGACAGACATTAGTTTAGCAGGAAAAGTTAAATTACGGATGGACTTGAGTGTCGATTTTTTTGTACGAATTGTACATGAAATATGACTATTAGAGAAAGATGATATGGTATGGAATGGTGAAAAAAATTAAGGAAAAACAAAGAGACTAAAACGGTGAATGTTTGCTCAGATATAAAATATTTCGACAGGACAAAATCAATCTAATGACACAACAAAACAAAATACAAATAACAAACCACAGTAAGTTTCGTCCCACGCCGTCGCACAGTCTTGTAATCCATCACAAATCCATTCTTTCAATATGCATTTTCCATGATTATTGTCATTACATCTGACATGTGTATTGAAATCACATCCTTGATACGAAAAAAATATTTTGCAATAAATAATAACTTAAAACTTAAAAAATATGTTTTAAAATCAGAACCTTGTTTTATAGAAATAAAGAAACAAATAAAATCTACAAGTCTAAATTGAAAACAACGTTCAAACCTATGATTGCGTTGGATAAAAACCACAATTTTTATATGTGTGCATGCAAATATATATATATTTCATCTCAATTTTAGCCCAACAAAGTTAGATCTGTAAATTTGCGTTATCAAATTTTTGTTCTTCCCTCAGCGGGATTCGAACCCTTGCGTCTGTGACATCGTGGCCACACCGCCTGCACCGTGGCCAGCGCCCTTGCCCACTCGACCACCTAGGCTACATAAAAATATAGATTTGGTGGTCGATGTGATGCTTTTCCTCGTCGGCTTTATCTAGGTTTGTAACACAGTACATGATGTATAGTGGAAAGTAGATGGTGTACCTTCAGATCGGCTATTTTGTTTGTCGTAAAGGATGATAATGTGAATTAACATGCCGCCACATCAAATTGTTTTTAAATTTTATTATACACGTCTAAACATGTGACAACTTTATTACTAACTTTCTCCATCGGATAACACGTGGTAATAATACAGGGCTAACACCATAATATATATATATATATTTCATCTCAAATTTACATATATATATAAAAGTCTATAAAAAAGACCAACCAGCAAATTAAAAATGTACCGGATCGTCTAGAATAGACAATACTGCGCAGATAAAGAAAAAATTATATAAGTCTAAAGATTTGACAACGGTACTACTATAAGATGGTAATATACGAAGATGATGTTTTAACATCGTGTTGACAAATATTTCGGCTTAAAAAATTGCCCGAGAACACATTTATTTCGTAGTGCATTTCTTTTAGACAATAAAGTCGAATTAAAAAAATCGCACCTGCTCTATCTCAAAAAGATTTTTACAGTGTAATGTACTACTATTGGGACAAATAATATCAAAATTATAGAAAAGTCTTCCAGCTCTAACTCAAAATATTGACAATTCTATGTTAAGGGGGTCTAAAATTAAATTTGACAGCTTAAGACATTCTAGTTTTTGCCCTTTTTTAACTGGACCAAATCACTACTTAACATAAAGATTCAGCACCCAAATTTTTTTCACATGTAATTTCATCCCCTTACTTAATATTTCATGCATAAAATATAAAGAAATAAATTTGGAAGGGTATGAAAAAAATTTGCAACCTATACACTGTCCACACTAGGGTCTATATTCGTAGACAACGAAAATCTAAGGACGATAACTGTGTCCTCGGACCAAATAGCCTTCGTCAACGTCAATAATTTTAACAATACTATATATTGCCAAAAACATATCTGGTGGGAGTTCTTCATTAGCAGATTAATTACTTTCAGTCTGTTTTTCGTAATTAGTAACATTTTTGATACTGTATTTTTTGGTTGTGTTTTTCATAGCCATGCTGAAACCTCATAAATAGTTGTTTTTAGTCTTTAGGAATATCATACAGATTTCTGCTTTAAAGAATTTGGAGTAGATAATAGACTTGTCTAGATCATGGCGATATAGAGCTTTTCATACAGTGTTCATTTGTTAATGGTTGAAGACCAAATGTTGAATGCTTGTCAATTGTAAATGTTGTTGGACTCCTGTCGCTTCTGTATTATGTTTCCCTTATTTTCTACATACACATGATAAATGTGAGATGTTCAAAACATACAATATAACCAGATAGAAATGAAATCTACAAAAGCACGTTAACAAAAAGAATTTATTTCTGCTATAATATTAAAGTATACTTATAAAAACAGTGTCACAATGGAACAAATAGAATTGTTATTTTTCAATCTATTTTCATTTTGTTTTCAAGCAGGTAGTCGATTGTTATATTCCAAACAAATGTCGAAAATTGCAGATCTAAAAGAAGCATACGCGATTGGGTATAAGGGAAAATATATTTTCATATGACATTATAATATCATAACCACAAGACTTAATGTATAAATTTCGTGATTCATTTTGAACTCAATCTTTGGAAAAATTGCATAGACTCATGGTAAAGAATGAGTATGAAGTATGTATTTATGAAATAAAAGCATTCCACACACATTCAACTAAAAGCAGAGGAATGGAGGTTTTGTTGTTCTTCATGTCTTACATATACGAGACATAGATAATCCTTTAATTCGGAGCAAAAGCTCTCGCAACGTACACTCAAAGTAATCTGTAATTTTATAAAAATAAAGAATATAAATATACACATTCGCAGGGATACTTTACGCTTTATGCATTAAAAAGGAGACTTCAAGATGCCAACGTATATTCAAAAACCATAATTCGATGACAACCTCACAATACCATGGCCAAAATAAAACATTCGAAAAGCCAATGAACAGTATACAAAACACAACACAGATGACAAGAGACTGAGCATTACGAATTCCAACCACATTTGCTCCAAATAGACCATTATTCATAAGAGACTTCAAACTTAAAATATAAGACGAAAAAAAAAAGAAAAGAAATCAAATTCAAACGTAAAGAAATGCATTTTAAATCATGTTTTCTAACTACATATCATTTAAATGGCATCATTTTCTTCTGGGGGTATTGGGTAAAGAGAGGGACAAAAAGGGTAAAAGGTAACTATATTGAAATATAATATAAGATATACCGCAATTATCTTCATCCCATCCAGATTGACAGTCACTAATTCCATCACAAATCCAAGTTTTATTGAGACACATTCCATCGTCACTTGCATCACACCTTGCATGATAGTCCATGTTACATGCTGTATTGAAATTTAAAAAAATCAGTACAATCGTGACAAGATATACAAACTTTATCTCTATACATACCAACGCTTACAATCAATAAGTTTTCCTCCATCTTCAGTTTTACATAATGAGATATCATAGAAATTAAATGATTAAATTAAACACGCAAAACAAACCCCTAATAAGTTTTCACTCTATTAAGGGATTTTCACAAAGATATTGAGATTAATAATTGATAACGAAAAAAAAAATTACACATCCAGATAAAATAAGATTCTAAATGTATCCATAAGTGGCAAAACATCATATCATGAACTAGAAAATCCGTTTCCGGAAAGTGAGTTTAGTAAACAAATTTTAATCTAAAATAATTTCTTTTTGGTAATTGTATTTTCTCCCCTGGTTTATTCATTGTGTACAAAAAAATCAAGTTCAATGACAAGAAAAGAATAAAACATTTGTTCCCATTCAATTGAAAATGTGCATTTTTTCATACAGGCACTTTGTCAAGTATACATTTTTGTAGAAGCATTATCAACGAGATTTTACGTCAAATTTGTCACTTGGTTGAGTCTTCAAAAATTGGAAGATCAAAAAGCATTAAATTTGACTCAATATTATTCCACATCAAACAATATACAAAGGTGAAAAAAAGGTCACTATACTTTACCAATATTCAAATCTCCATTGACATTTTCTTAAAGATATCTGGTTTTTTTTTAATATGCATTGCAGTTTCAGTTTTATTGTAGTGGCTTTTGTACTGACTTTGTTTACTACTTTAAGAATAAAACATCTATTATTTATTACTTTTGTGGTATTCAAATAAACGTAAGTTAAAAACGAATAAAAAGTTTTTATTACTTTACTTTCTTGTGAAATTACGTTTTTTCACTTTTATTTTCGTCAATTTACAAAATATTTTTATAACTCTTTTTATTTTGTCAATTGCGTTATTGTTTGTTTTTTTGCATCTTAAATTCTTAATGACATATTCTTAAATCTCGCACTTTGTTAAGTCTTTCGCAGCTTCAGTTTTATTTTCATTGCAGGGATTTTAATTTCTATTATTGATACTACCTTAATATTAAAAACCTTTTTTTCCTTTTCTTGCATTACTAATCATTTCTTTTTCCTGCTTTATTCAAACTAACATACCACATTCAAATTCATCCCAACCAGTCTCGCAATCTTCCCATCCATCGCAGACCCAATCTTTAGATATGCATTTTCCAGGTCCTGGGCTATTACATCTTACTTCTGTGTCAGGATTACATTCTAAATTAAACAAAAATATTTAAATGTATAGTAGATGTACAGTTTATATTGAAACTGGTGTATTATTGACTGCCAGACTTGTCACCTAGTTCGGCTATTTGTTTCCAATTTATGTATTGGCAACACAACATTTCAAAATGTTCTACGCTTGCTTAATGTGTTATAATAAAAAAGAAACAATAATTTCCTCGTGTTCTTTTTTTTTTCCAGTAGCACTTAGTGACCATTTATGATATAATTATTTCTAATGCACCTAATTATCTTTCGCCTCTCATTTATTTAAATGACTTAATCGCTAAACGCGTGTAATGTTTATTGGTGTTTCATATTATGATTAGTGTTTCATTGTTGTTGATATTTTTTTCTGGTCAATATGTTCTCTATATCTGAATTGTCAATAGGGATTTGCCATTTTCATATTTTAATTATACTTAAAATTGTGAAATTTTACATTAGCTGCTTTATATATCGTGTTTGATAGCATAAGCCATCCGTTCTTAACATAAAGCCAATTCATGATTATCAGTTTTGAACACAACTTCACTTTTTTGTGATCTGCTATCAAAGTATTTGCCGTAATAGTTTATATCTAGTTTATTTGTGATTTGCTATCATGGTTTTTGCTATAATAAATAAATATGTTGAATGATATAAATGTTACAATAAAAAATGTGTAATTCATGGAATTAATACTTTATATTCATGCTTTGTATCTCAAAAATACTTATCTAAATTCACAGCAATAGGGTAATATATCAGTTCTTTGTTGTGACAAATTTACTTTTTTTACATGGACATGAAGCGAATTGAATACTTGTTTAAGTGACCTTTTATGGCATAATCATTTCTTATTTACTTAAATAAAGAATAGCTAAACGCGTGTAATGTTTTATTAGTGTTTCATATTATGATTAATGTTTCATTGTTGTTGTATTTGTTTTGCTCTATTTACGTATTGTCAATAAGGATTTGCCGTTTTCATATTGTAATCATACTTCAAATTGTGAATTTTTTAAATTGGCTACTTTACATATCGTGATAGATAGCAAAAGACATCCGTTCTTATCAGTTATCATATAGACAATTTCATAATTATAATTGTTTTACAACAACTTAACTTTTTGGTGATCTGCTTTCATATTATTTGCCGTAATAAATTATATCTATTTTTTTTTTATTTGTTATCATGGTTTTTGCTATAATAAATAAATATGTTGAATGATATAAATTTTACAATCGAAAATGTGTAATTCATGGATTTAATACTTTATATTCATGCTTTGTATCTCAAAAATACTTTAACTGTCAAAATCTCGAAGTATAAAAGTATTTTTATAGATGACAAAGCTGAAAATCTTATGTCTTCACCCAATCCAAGAACTGATGTATTTACCAAATATTTAACTACCTTCAATACATTTTAATGCAGCATCATCCTCTGCTTGGCACGCCATGTCAATATGCTCCCCACTTTCTCCGGAACACTGATTGATTGACTTCTCGTCTCCTTCGCAAAGAAGCGAATAACTTAGTCTATAAAAATCTATCGAATGGGATAACTTATGGGCAACACCTTTACCGGGTTTGTTCAGAAATCTACATGCTACAGATGCATCTTTGTCATCCCAGTCAAGCAGGCATAGAGAGTAGGTACCAGTCGGTTGGTGAATCAGTAATCTACCATCATCACTAAGATCTAATCCTAAAAAAAAGGAAAATATGTGTAATTGTTTTAAAGATTTTACGGATTTTTTCTAGTAGTTTGAATTTTCGAGTGTTCAGCCGAATCTCTTATTGAACACTTTTCCAGTACTTCTATTCTCTATTTATATCTATCTAAGCATTGCAGATGCTTTTCTTTATAACTTCATGTATGGTCATTGGAAAAACACCTGTATCAGTCAAACTACTATTATATGTTGCCATTTAAGTTGGTATATTAGCCTAGAAAATAGATATTTAGCCTTGAGAATTGAAAGGTCAGTTTGTCCAATTCATGCAGTAGGAGTTGATAAATTTGGCTTTATGCCATTTACCTTGTCCACAATTTAGTTCTTCCTATTGTTATTATGAGGTTGTTAAAGTTATCTGCCTGTCTGTTCACCGATTGGACTCCAATTCTCACTTTTAAATTTTTAAAATACTAAAACGTATATCAAAATTATAAAAAGTCTTAAATAAACAATTAATAATGCATTGACTCGATAGTATGTATCAGCATTTCGTGTGTATTTTAGTCTAAACGCCATCTAATTAACAATCAAGATGACCCCTGAGAGACTGCCGACGGTCATATAATCCGATATATAAACATACATAAATTTAAATAGATAGCAAGCACGTACAATTGGATTTTGCTAGGTCTGTTTTATGTCATGTTATAGGTTAAAATATATGTTAATCCTTGATTGTACCTGTATAAGAATGATTTGTTTTTGTGATTCGAATCAGTCAACAAAATGGTTCACCATTGTTTCAATTTCTTTGATGACATTCCTTTCCTTTAATAGCTGAACACGACTTGCACATGCGTAAATAAACTCATCATAGATACCAGGATTGAAATTTTGTATTTAGTCATCTTCAGCAAACGGGGCTAATTAAAGGTCACATGAGTCCGGATTGAATGGGGTTAAATAATCAACTTGCCAGTCAATGATACATCAGCAATGTTTTGGACCTTATTTTTACAAATTTGGACCCAAATTGACTGGCTATAACGAAATATTATTTCAAAATTCCGCTTTTATTAATATTTGAAACAAAAATAATCGTATTTTAATTTTTGTGTCAAAATCGTAGCTAATACTCCTTCAAGGCCTAGCATCCACTAGATATATAAAAGTAAAATGAATTTTGTGTTTCAGAAACAAAATAAAACCTTTTTGGTAATTTTTTGACAAATTTTTATTTTTTATCAAACTTGAAATCCCCCCCCCCCCCCCCCCCACACACACACACACAAAAAAAATGAATTTTTGCCCCATTTTGGTGTTTTTCTTTTTTTAAGTTATGATATTTTTCAAATTTGATTTTTTTTGTTTCGCATAAATATATTTTGGACAAGGTAAACGGCATGAAGCCACATTAATCAACTCCTATTGCATTAATTCGATACACTGACCTTTCAATTTTCAAGGCTAAATATTTATTTTCTGGGCTAATATACCAATTTAAATTGCAACAGAGAATTGTAATTTGATTGGTACAGGTGTTTTTCAAATGACAATAACATTAAATACATGTTATCTTGTTAAAATGCTTACTCATTTCACAATGTCCTCCAACATAAGGGCTAACACACTCACAGTAAGATGAACCATCATATTGATGACATGTACCATCATTACCACAGGGATTATTTAGGCACAAATCGTTGACATCTTCTGTAATAACAATAGAAATACTTATGTGCTTTACTGATTTTCATTATTAAAGATGAAAAGTTGATTCCTTATTAAAAGATAGAACTGAGTATTTTTTCACCCATTTACAAAATATTCTCAAACTCTTTTCGATATGTCAGTTATAGAAATAAAAACAAAAAACATCGTCTGTTTTCTGTTTTATTTTATAGATTACTGTTTACCGTTGTGTCGTTTTTTCAGCTATTTCTGATATCGTTTGTCTTTTTGCTATTTTAAAAATTTAATTCTTTCTTGACATACTCTTACTTTTTTCATGTTTTAGTTCTAGTTTAATTGCATTGCAGTGATTTTGTTCTCACCATTTTTGAAACTTTATTAAGATTAAAAGCATTAATTTCATTTTCTTGCATTGCTTATCATTTACTTGCTTTATTCAAACTAACATACCACATTCAAATTCATCCCAACCAGTCTCGCAATCTTCCCACCCATCGCAGATCCAATCTTTAGATATGCATTTTCCAGGTCCTAGGCTATTACATCTTACTTCTGTGTCAGGATTACACTCTTAATTAAACAAAAATATGCAAATGTCTAGTAGATGTGCAGTTAACAATGAAACTGATGTCTTATTGACTGTCAGACTTATCACCTGCTTCTGTTATAGGTTTCTCAATTAGGTATTAACAAACTACGCTTTTATAATTAAATATCAGGTGGCAAAATGTGTTATAATGAAAGCAATTATTTCCTTGTGTTCTTTATTTACGTGGCAAAATGTGTTATAATAAAAGCAATTATTTCCTGTTCCAAGTCAGGAATATGACAGTTGTGTTCCATTCGTTTGGTGTGTTTGAGCTTTTGATTTTGCCAATTGTTAAGGGACTTTCCGTTTTGAATTTTCCTTTGAGTTCGGTATTTTTGTTATTTTACTTTTTCCTTGTGTTCTCTGTTTTAAAAAATAAATCCCAATAGCAACATGAATTACTTCTAGTAACCAAGTTTTTCCTCATTCTACTCTAATGACAACCATCAATCAAAGCTACTCACATTATATATCTTGTTCCTAATATTTCAATTAAATCGTCATTCAAGCACATACTTTATTATCAAGTATCGGCATCGAAAGGGTATCTGCTTTCAAAACCTCCGATGATAGTAACAATGTTTTGTCGTTTGTGTATTTAATAAAGGCGTTAACTGGTATTTACCTTGTTCGCAGTTATCACCAATGAATGGGTATCTAAATTCACAGCAATAGGGTAATTGATCAGTTCATTGTTGTGACAAATTTACTTTTTTGACATGGACATGAAGCGAGTTGAATACTTGTTTAAGTGACCTTTTATAGCATAATCATTTCTTATTTACTTAAATAAAGAATAGCTAAACGCGTGTAATGTTTTATTAGCGTTTCATATTATGATTAATGTTTCATTGTTGTTGATTTTTGTTTTGCTCTATATACGTATTGTCAATAAGGATTTGCCGTTTTCATATTGTAATCATACTTCAAATTGTGAATTTTTTAAATTGGCTACTTTACATATCGTGATTGATAGCAAAAGCCATCTGTTCTTATCAGTAATCATATAGACAATTTCATAATTATAATTGTTTTACAACAACTTAACTTTTTGGTGATCTGCTTTCATATTATTTGCCGTAATAAATTATATCTAGTTTATTTTTGATTTGTTATCATGGTTTTTGCTATAATAAATAAATATGTTGAATGATATAAATTTTACAATCGAAAATGTGTAATTCATGGAATTAATACTTTATATTCATGCTTTGTATCACAAAAATACTTTAACTGTCAAAATATCGAAGTATAAAAGCATTTTTTATAGATGACAAAACTGTAACTCTTATGTCTTCACCCAATCCAAGAACTGATGTATTTTCCAAATATTTAACTACCTTCAATACATTTTAATGCAGCATCATCCTCTGCTTGGCACGCCATGTCAATATGCTCCCCACTTTCTCCAGAACACTGATTGATTGACTTCTCGTCTCCTTCGCAAAGAAGCGAATAACTTAGTCTATAAAAATCTACCGAATGGGGTAACTTATAGGCAACACCTTTACCGGGTTTGTTCAGAAATCTACATGCTACAGATGCATCACTGTCATCCCAGTCAAGCAGACATAGAGAGTAGGTACCAGTCGGTTGGTGAATCAATAATCTGCCATCATCACTTAGATCCAATCCTTAAACAGAAAATATGTGTCTTTGTTTTATAGATTTTACAGAGAAATACTTTTATAGCTTCCAGAATAGTAATTGAGATTTCGATTATTTAGCAATATCTTTTATCGATTACTTTAACGTGACTATTCTCTAACTATCCATAGCTAAGTTTTGAAGATGCTTTTCCGTATACTTTAAACCAACTTATTTTCCCGGATACTTTATCTGGCGTTTAGCCCTTTCTAGTCCACTTCGCGGCGATTTAATTTCTCGATTTTCTAATTTACTTAATGTAGTTAAATAAGGAAAAATCCAATTTTTACATATTCGCGACGATTTATATTCGCATTATTTTTCTTTTCGCGAAAGTCGCAAAAATAAATCGCTCGCGGAAATTAGTTGGTTTACAGTACCTTATAACATAATATACCTGATAACTTGTTATAATACTTACTGATTTCACAATGTCCTCCGACAAAAGGACTAAAGCAATCACAGTAATATGCACCATCATATTGATGACATGTACCACCATTACCACAGGGGTTGTTAAGGCACAAATCGGTGACGTATTCTGAAAAAACAATAAAAATTGTTATGTACTTCAATGAGTTTCATTATTAAAGATGAAAAGTTGATTCCTTACTAACAGATAGAACTAAGTTTTTTTTCTCATCCATTTACAAAATATTCTCAACCTCTTTTCAATATGTCAATGGAAGAAATGAAAACAAAAAACTTCGTCTGTTTTCTGTTTTATTTTATAGATTACTGTTTACCATTGTGTCGTTTTTTCTTCTATTTCTGATATCGTTTGTCTTTTGCCATTTTAAAAGTTTAATTCTTACTTGACATATTTTTTTCTTTTCTCATTTTGTAGTTCCAGTTTAATTGTAGTGCAGTGATTTTGTTCTCACCATTTTTGAAACTTTATTAAGATTAAAAGTGTTTATTTCCTTTTCTTGCATTACTTATCATTTTCTTGCTTTATTCAAACTAACATACCACATTCAAATTCATCCCAACCAGTCTCGCAATCTTTCCACCCATCGCAGATCCAATCTTTAGATATACATTCTCCAGATCCTGGGGTATTACATTTCACTTTTACTTCTGTGTCAGGATTACATTCTTAATTAAACAAAAATATGCAAATGTCTAGTAGATGTGCAGTTCACAATGAAACTGGTGTCTTATTGACTGTCAGACTAATCACCTGATTCTGTTATAGGTTTCTCAATTAGGTATTAACAACCTACGCTTTTATAACTAAACATCACATGGCAAAATGTGTTATAATAAAAGCAACTATTTCCTTGTGTTCTTTATTTACGTGGCAAAATGTGTTATAATAAAAGCAATTATTTCCTGTACCAAGTCAGGAATATGACAGTTGTGTTCCATTCGTTTGGTGTGTTTGAGCTTTTGATTTTGCCAATTGTTAAGGGACTTTCCGTTTTGAATTTTCCTTTGTGTTCGGTATTTTTGTTGTTTTACTTTTTCCTTGTGTTATCTGTTTTAAAAAATAAATCCCAATAGCAATATGAATTACTAATTAAGCCACAACCAAGTTTTTCCTCATTCTACTCTAATGACAACCATCAATCAAAAGAGGGACGAAAGATACCAGAGGGACAGACAAACTCATAGATCGAAAACAAACTGACAACGCCATGGCCAAAAATAAAAAGACAAACAGACAAATAATAGTACAGATGACACAACATAGAAAACCAAAGACTAAGCAACACGAACCCCACCAAAAACTGGGGGTGATCTCAGGTGCTCCGGAAGGGTAAGCAGATCCTGCTCCACATGTGGCACTCACATTATGTATCTTGTTCCCAATATTTCAATTAAATCTTCATTCAAGCACATACTTTATTATTAAGTATCGGCATCGAAAGGGTATCTGCTTTCAAAACCTCCGATGATGGTAACAATGTTTTGTCGTTTCTGTATTTAATAAAGGCGTTAACCTGTATTTACCTTGTTCGCAGTTATCACCAATGAATGGGTATCTAAATTCACAGAAATAGGGTAATAGATCAGTTCTTTGTTGTGACAAATTTACTTTTTTTACATGGACATGAAGCGAATTGAATACTTGTTTAAGTGACCTTTTATGGCATAATCATTTCTTATATACTTAAATAAAGAATAGCTAAACGCGTGTAATGTTTTATTAGTGTTTCATATTATGATTAATGTTTCATTGTTGTTGTTTTTGTTTTGCTCTATTTACGTATTGTCAATAAGGATTTGCCGTTTTCATATTGTAATCATACTTCAAATTGTGAATTTTTTAAATTGGCTACTTTACATATCGTGATTGATAGCAAAAGACATCCGTTCTTATCAGTTATCATATAGACAATTTCATAATTACAATTGTTTTACAACAACTTAACTTTTTGGTGATCTGCTTTCATATTATTTGCCGTAATAAATTATATCTAGTTTTTTTTTTATTTGTTATCATGGTTTTTGCTATAATAAATAAATATGTTGAATGATATAAATTTTACAATCGAAAATGTGTAATTCATGGAATTAATACTTTATATTCATGCTTTGTATCTCAAAAATACTTTAACTGTCAAAATCTCGAAGTATAAAAGTATTTTTATAGATGACAAAGCTGTAACTCTTATGTCTTCACCCAATCCAAGAACTGATGTATTTACCAAATATTTAACTACCTTCAATACATTTTAATGCAGCATCATCCTCTGCTTGGCACGCCATGTCAATATGCTCCCCACTTTCTCCAGAACACTGATTGATTGACTTCTCGTCTCCTTCGCAAAGAAGCGAATAACTTAGTCTATAAAAATCTACCGAATGGGGTAACTTATAGGCAACACCTTTACCGGGTTTGTTCAGAAATCTACATGCTACAGATGCATCACTGTCATCCCAGTCAAGCAGACATAGAGAGTAGGTACCAGTCGGTTGGTGAATCAATAATCTGCCATCATCACTTAGATCCAATCCTAAAACAGGAAATATGTGTCTTTGTTTTATAGATTTTACAGAAAAATACTTTTATAGCTTCCAAAATAGTAATTGAGATTTCGATTATTTAGCAATATCTTTTATCGATTACTTTAACGTGACTATTCTCTAACTATCCATAGCTTAGTATTGCAGATGCTTTTCCGTATACTTTAAACCAACTTATTTTCCCGGATACTTTATTTTGTGTTAAGCCCTTTCTAGTCCACGTCGCGGCGATTAAATTTCTCGATTTTCTAATTTACTTGATGAAGTTTAATGAGGAAAGATCCAAGTTTTACATATTCGTGACGATTTATATTCGCGTTATTTTTCTTCTCGCGAAAGTCGCGAAAATAAATCGCTCGGGGAAATTAGTTGGTTTACAGTACCTTATAACATAATATACCTGATAACTTGTTATAATACTTACTGATTTCACAATGTCCTCCGATAAAAGGACTAAAACAATCACAGTAATATGCACCATCATATTGATGACATGTACCACCATTACCACAGGGGTTGTTAAGGCACAAATCGGTGACGTATTCTGTAATAACAATAAAAATTGGTATGTACTTCATTGAGTTTCATTATTAAAGATGAAAAGTTGATTCCTTACTAACAGATAGAACTGAGCTTTTAAGACATCACCTGATGCGTCATTTCATCTGATTTACCTGGCATGCGTACCACAACAAGGTGCCATTCATTTTTAAATTGGAAGTCCGTTTATCAACAAGTGTGTCTAAAAAATTGAAATATGAATATTTACAGTAGGTGTACAGTTCATACTGATACTGATCTGTTTTTGACTGCAAGACTAATCACTAAATTATGTTACGTGTTTCAATTTTTTTCTCCGCTAAGCTAATTATAGAATTATTAGGTCCGATCGCTTGATAAATCGACAAAATGTTTATATGTTGTTCGTATTCTTTCTTCAAACGGTAAGCGTTTTGAAAAACAATATATATGTATGATTAACATAAATATGAATTAATCAAATAATATCCTATGATATATAAAATCATATGCATTTAATAGGTATTTTATATCTTATCTACTTAGCTGAAATCAACATCTTAATTATGCCAAACAATTGATTACACGTTGACCAATACTGCTTTTACATCACTGAACGATGACTGCCGAAGTTTTGTGCTTAACAATTTACATTCGAATTCAAGATCATAATAGCAGATACATTTTATTTTTGGAAATTTGGAAACATATGATTTTATAATATTTGATTTGCGCGCTTCTTGCTGAATGTGATTTGTTATTTTCTGTCATTTCGAAATAGCCTTGAATTCTTAATAATATATAACAAGGCTAAAAGAAAGGACCGAACATATAGAACAGCTCAAAAGACTAAACCATACTTAGATACTTGTCATTCGTTGTTGAAAGATTGTAAACTTTAAAGGATTCTTAGATGTGAAATTATAATTAGAGTTTTGGAGCAGTACACTATATATTTAAGGGATATTTAGGGAGTTTAGAATTATGTTATAATGAATTTGATGTTTGCATGCTTTGAAATTCTATTGATTAATATTGTATCTTAGGAGAAGAAGGTATAAGTTGGACCAGCTTGTGTCTAATTCCTTTTGCGATATTTTGCAAACAAAATATTTTTACGATATTTTGCAAACAAAATATGTTTAAACTACATAGAGAATAAAGTATATATGTCTGCCTCTTGTCGCTAACATGTGCCATTTATCTTAATATTTGTAGACTTTCCTTGTTGGATTTCAAGCTTTGTTTAATTATATATGATTGCTTGTATATAACTCATACATCATTCTAGAAATGCAATATCGTTCGACTATATATTTCTGTTCTAAAACTAGTCTCTATGCAATACACTCAAATATTTATCCGTAAGTACAAAAGAAAAATACATTTTTACAAAGAAGAATATTGTGTACTATCATATGACCTCCTGTCTTCCATTTCGATTAACTAATGGTTAATTTATTTTATAATATATGCAAGTCTTTTATTTTGACAGTTCTGGATGTGTGATTTTCTTATCCCAGGAATAGATAACCTTAGCCTTATTTGGCACAACTTTTTGGAATTTTGGATCCTCAACTTTGTACTTGTTTGGCTTTATAACTTTTTTGATTTGAGCATCACTGATGAGTCTTATGTAGACGAAACGCGCGTCTGGCGTATTAAATTAAAATCCTGGTACCTTTGATAACTATTTACTTCCTACTAGAAAATATTTCTACATTTTGAATGCTGGGGGTTCCACTTGAATGGATGAATTGATAGTCAAAATTACCCACCAGTGGCATAAATCAAAACAAATCATTGATTGATTGATAGATTGGTGTCTTACGGCACTTTCAGCACAATTGTGGCGGTCCGATTTTATTGATGGAGGAAGCCGGAGTGCACGGAGAGGATCACCGACCTTTGGTAGGAAAACTGATAATCCTAGTCAACTAAAGTTATCAGTGATGACAGGCTCGTGATACAGTCGTTTGACTACTATGGCCACTTGGCCACCGCGGTCCCAAAAAAACAAACCATTAGCTTTACCAATTTTATGTATTGAATATCCGTTTTCAGAATAAAAATAAAAGTAATATAAAATGATTATAATGATAATAATAACCTAACTTTCGATTTTTTCCTTTAGAATTCAGGACAAAAATAGCTTAATAAAAATATAATCAATGTTGTCACGATCAAAATGTGTAATACTTAAGAAATTGTATATCTTATATACGAATCAAACTTACAACTTATTTTTCTATTAACAGAAATGAGATAAAACCATTAAAACAATTACCACTGTGACCTTGATAGACAGAAATTCTCCATTCACCCCCACAAATTTGTCGTTCGTTGCCAGCACAAGTTATGGTACATTCTTCTTCGGGTCTCTTTTCGTAAACATCTGGATCTCCCAAAGAATTCCCACAATAACATTCGAAATGAAACTGAAATATATAATAACAACAAAAGGCAAATTATTTCAACATCGGTATACTACTCTTGATAATTTTCACCATGAACGAAGTTAAATATGTTGCTTCTGCCAAAAATGTGTTTTAATGTTTTTATACAATATCAGTAGAAATTATACCATCTAGTATCCCTCAAAATATTTCAAATACTTCATACCCGAGAACGGAACTGATTTACCTAACCCCCAAAAGTATCAAATATTCAAGATTCCAATAACTAAATAAGACATCGAACCCATAACTTTAAATAATAACATGGCTTATGATTAAAGAAATTTAATCCCGCATTACATTCAAAATTAAGCCGTTGCAAGCATTGCACAGTTTTAACATCCCCACAGAAGGACCCCCCGTGCAGTAGCACGAAAATGCATATGTTGAAATACAAAATTAATCGCATATTCATAATGGAATTCTTTCTGGTGTTTTTTTTAATTTCAAAAGCAATACAGCTTATATGTATCAGTATAGTCTATAGAATATAGAATCGTAGATTCCTACTCTATTTAAAATGTTAACCCTAGGAAGAGTCATAACGATGTAAATGCCTTTTTGGGAATAGTTTACAAAGAATGCATCTGACCTGAAGACCAAAGTACGTATATCCCTCACAAATTCCTTGGCACATTTCTAGGTTCATCAATTCGTGAATGTGTAGGTTGTCAAGGATACGGTTTGTATCATCCTTATAGCATCCCAAATATTCTGCTAACATTTCCTCTGAAGAAATAAAATTTCAGTGAAAGCAGGCTTTTTGTCATATGATATATTCCCAAGTTAAAATGCCGATTTAAGAAGAATGCTTAATACTAAATAGATGTATGTTGGTTATCTTTATGCAAACAAATTCATGTACATAACAGGAATAATGAACCATATCTTTATGAGCAAAAATAGCTTCAAACAGAACAGTGGAACAATGACTCGTTAAAGAAGAAGACCGAGTCCTCAAATAACTGGTCACATCTTTCTATAATAAGATTTATAGGCAAAACAACAAATTGGTCTATTACGTGACAATTCATTTTCATATATCTCTATGTATGGCCCTATCGCTTATCTTATTCGTTTATATCTATGTACTCAAAGTATACCTTTCTCGAAATGAAAGATTTCCGATCATCATTATTATTGTTAAATTTATTTTTTAATAATTATTTGGATTAACCAATATTTAAAATGACATGTCATTAATAACTGCATAAACCAATTTTTTTTCGTCTTTCATGTTTACAATGGTTTCTGGGGAATTACCCACACATAGAACCGAATGACAAATAAAAGCAGAAGATGTTAACACTCCGTTCTACGTGTAAGCGATTCTAATTGTTTTTTTCCCATATTTGTCTTTAAATATAGTTGGATATTTACATTAACGGCGGTATACTACTATGCTTTATACAATTCATATACGGTAATTTTAATCGGTTTAATTTTGGCTGTTCTTTGTGAATTTTGGTTATACGTCCATCCATTACTCATGCTTGTATATATATATATATATATATATATACACTATATATTTACTAACGAAAGCTTTATTTTATATAGCCTAGTTGGCCGAGTGGTCTATGGCGCTGGATATAGTGCATGAGGTGTTACCAAGATGTCACAGAAGCAGGGGTTAAATATAAATATAATATACATATTTGATTACTCACTATACTTGTCAGTTTCAAACGTTCGCACGAGCTTATGTTTCATTGAGATTCTATGGACTGACTTATAAATACATTAGGAGTCTTACATTAGCAAAATCACTTTGCCTTTCTAAAGGATTAAATCTTAATAAAAAAGGGTTTTTGAAAAATAATTTGATTAGGTTTTTAAAATAATACAAGGTTAAAGTTTCTTCAAAATCTTTTATATCTCTCAAAGAAACAAATTTTAAAACGTTTTACAATTAAACATAAAATAATCCTACAGATTTCCTATTCATCAGATGAGGAACATTAATTACTAATACGATATAGTTTTAAGTAATTACTAACAGATCCTATCAAATATTGCAGTTAAATTACACTTAAGTGCACGGAAGCATTTCTTTTACATAACATCTATCAGTGGTGCTCTAACCAGAACAGTTTGATTCCCATTTCGAAGTCGAAGCGCTTAAAAATTGCAAAATAAGGCAATTTTGGCAAATCTTTGTCATAGGGTAGAAAACCCTTAGTAAACACAAAATTACAGACATGATCAAATCAATCATATCTCATGTCAGCACAAGAGTGATTACTTTAAAAACTTCAAAGTAAATATGTTTGCAAATGGGAGTGGCAAATGTATATTTCTTGAAAAAAACAAAACATTATAAAGAACATGAATTAGATAAATAAGAAAGCGTATCGTATACAAACTAAATAGTATTGAAAAATGCAGTTTGCCATGGAAATAAAAATTCAACCGCAACCAACTCTTAAGAAAGTGTTCTTTAAAATAACATAATCTTAAATGTTGACTTACAGATTTTCTATTCATCAGATGAGGAAAATTAAATGTTCGTTTGGACAAAATTATCTCTGTAGGTAAAAACTCATAACTTCAGTGCTCGTGATAGGTATTTACATACCTTCAATACACTCCAATGCAGCATCACCTTGATTTTCACACCTTATATCAATATGATCTCCACTTTGTCCTTGGCAGAGATCGATCGAGTCTTCGTGACCTTCGCAATTTAGCAAATAACTTTGTCTTTTAAAATCTTCCGAATGAGGTAACATATAGGCAACACCTTTACCGGGTTTGTTCAGAAATCTACATGCTACAGATGCATCATTGTCATCCCAGTCAAGCAGACATACAGAGTAGGTACCAGTCGGTTGGTGAATCAATAACCTACCCTCATCATTTAGACTTAATTCTAAAAGAGTAATAGATAAGAAGAATTTGTGATTGTTTTTTCATATAATGTTGCAGATGTTATTCCTTTAAACAATTTTCAAACTGTTGGTTACAAATTTCGGCTTTCAGCAATAGCTCTTTCTTTCTCTCTCTCTCTCTCTCTCTCTCTCTCTCTCTCTCTCTCTCTCTCCTTTCTGAGACATTTACACATGATGCGTCCATTTAAGTGAATATTTCTGGGTTTTTTTATAAACACTTACCCATGTCACAATGTTCTCCAACAAACGGACTAATACAATGACAGTAATATGAAGAATCATACTGAAAGCAACTTCCTCCATTTTCACACGGGTGGTTATCGCACAAATCGGTCATGTCTTCTGCAATAAATACAAAATCTTAAATTCTTTCACTGTTTTTTTTTTAAATGTTATTAAGATATATTTTTATGTAATTACTAACAGATCCTATCAAATATACCAGACTGACACTTAAGTACACAGAAGCATTTCTTTTACATAGTATCTATCAGCGGTACTAAAAAATTGCAAAATGTTGCAATTTTAGCAAATCTTTGTCATAGGGTAGAAAACCCTTAGTGAACACAAAATCACAGACATGATCAATTCAATTATATCTCATGTCGTCACAGGAGTGATTACTTCAGAAAACTTCAAAGTAAATTTGTTCTGCAAATGGGTGTTGCAAATGTATAATTCTTGAATAAAACAAAACATTATAGAGAACATATATTAGATAAATAAGAAAGCGTATTGTATACAAACTAAATAGTATTGAAAAATGCAGTTTGCCATGGAAATAAAAATTCAACCGCAACCAACTCTTGAGAAAGTGTTCTTTAAAATATCATAATCCTAAATGTTACAGATTTCATATTCATCAGATGAGGAAAATTAAATGTTCGTTTGAACAAAATTATCTCTGTAGGTAAAAGTAATAACATCAATGCACGTGGTAGGTATGTACATACCTTCAATACACTTCAGTGCAGCATCACCTTGATCTTCACAACTTATATCAATATGATCTCCACTTTGTCCTTGACAGAGATCGATCGAGTCTTCGTGACCTTCGCAATTTAGCAAAAAACTTAGTCTTTTAAAATCTTCCAAATGAGGTAACGTATAGGCAACACCTTTACCGGGTTTGTTCAGAAATCTACATGCTACAGATGCATCATTGTCATCCCAGTCAAGCAGGCATAGAGAGTAGGTACCAGTCGAATAGTGAATCAATAACCTACCCTCATCATTAAGACCTAATTCTAAAAGAGTAAAAGATAAGAAGAATTTTTAATTGTTTTTCATATAATGTTGCAGATGTTATTCCTTTCATAATTTTTCAAACTAGTGGTTACAAATGTTGGTTTTCAGCAATAGCTCTCTCTCTCTCTCTCTCTCTCTCTCTCTCTCTCTCTCTCTCTCTCTCTTTTCTGAGACAATTACACATGATGCATCCATTTAAAGGAATATTTCTGTTTTTTTTTATTTATAAACACTTACCCATGTCACAATGTTCTCCTACAAACGGACTAACACAATCACAGTAATATGCACCATCATATTGATGACATGTACCACCATTACCACAAGGGTTGTTAAGGCACAAATCGGTGACGTCTTCTGTAATAACAATAAAAATTGTTATGTACTTCAATGATTTTCATTATTAAAGATGAAAGTTGGTTCCTTACTAGCAGAAAGAACTGAGTTTTTAAGACATCACCTGGTGCGCCATTTCATCTGATTTACCTTGCATGCGTACCACAACAGGGTGCTATTCATTTTTAAATTGAAGGTCTGTTTATCAACAAGTCGTGCCTTCAGAATTAAACTGTTATATATCCTTTTTATTAAATTTCGGTAATTCAAAGAACAAAGTTTAGAATTTTCATTTTTCTCACATTTACTATTCAGGAAGATGATTGAAATGCAATGTAATGTGTCATAACTTGGTTAATCAAAAAGATAATGTCCTGTTAATGAATGACCAACAATTAATCCATAACTCCAAAATTTAAACTATGGAGATAGGACATTCTAATTCTATAAGTGCCATAGGAAAAAAATTATACTGATACATATATAGTTATAGTATACAGTTCTGTGTTAAGGACTGACAAATAGCATTGGAAAGGCTGGTATTTTTTGTTTTTTTAATATTTTGGTATTTTTTTTAACCTTGTGTTTTAAGAATCAAAATTTTTTTCAAAGAAAAGAGACAAGACAGTATTATCTTGTTATTTGTCATTAAAATGTGTTCTATCTTTGGGAATATATTCTCAGAGTAAAGGATAAGAATACAAGTTAATTAAGAAACAACCTCCCAAAGTCAATTGGTCGTTCTTTATAGTTTAGAATGCATACAATCATCATGATCAAATAAATATCAAATAAATTGAAAATAATGCATTCGTCTCTGTCAAAGCTCAAAGACAAAATAATACTAGAAAGAACAACATTAAGTTTTCTGACAATGTCTGTGCACTCACTACTCACTACAGTAACTGACGACTTGAGTCTAAAGTTTCAAACAAGACTTATAAAAGTTTTGATCCTCTAAAGGCATATAGGTAAGCATGCATACAATTTTCATATCAAATAAACATCAAATAAATTGAAAATATTGCATTTTACTCTGTCAATATTATTAGCAAAATAATATTGGAATGACTATATTAAGTTTTCTGTGCACTATTTACTGACAATTCAAGTCTTAATTTTCAGACGAGACTTATAATAGTCTTGATCCTCTAAAGGCATATATTTAAGCATACTTTTAATGTCGGCTACTTTCTCTTTACTGACTACTGGTTTTTTTGACAATCTTGTTACTTTCAGAAGCTTTTCAATTTTACCTATCTGACCTAATACAGAAATGTCTTGAAATTCCTTCTCAGAAAAAGAATATTTAACATACACATGTGAAGGTTTTTCACGAAGAAGTTTGATGTGCTTTACTTTTGTAAATTTCACATTTGTAAATTTAAATGATTTACTAGCTTTCTGGTAATTATAAAACATTCCAGAATTCAATTCTAACACTTTCATGAAGCTTGGCCGAACTTTTGATAAAGCTCTTATAAATCCTGAGGGGCTATAAACTTCACACACTTTAAGTGACTTTTCTATATTGCTATGAATATTGTCAACCTCTTGTATTGAGGAGTGACCAGGAGAACAAAATTTATGCTGAATTACTTGAAGTTTAGGATGCTCAAAGAGGAGGATTTTCAAAGCAGTTACCATGAAAGAATTTTTATTTTGTGGTACACAAGAATCTGACCAATGACAAATCTTATCAATATTTGGATGTTCCACAGTTATAGTTCTTAAAATAGAAATTATTGCACTTGCAATTTCATTTCCTCCTCTTCCAGCATCCATTTCATTCCAAACAGCATTATAACCTTTTTTATTTAATGAAAAATGGGCTGTTAAATTGTATGTATTGATTTTTCTTTTATAGAAAAAATTTGACACTTCAGCCCGAGGACAAGCAACTACATTTTCAAGATCAAAACACAAAACATATGAATTATCCCCCCTGTCTTTGTCCCTTTCAATTTTAGTTTCAAGTTTATCTTTTATGTGATTTTGGTATTTCTCATCAAAATCAGTAATGGCATTTGACTTTGAAGCTTTATGCTCTTCACATGTGTCACATTTATCTTTTTTCGGGATATGAAATCCTAAATTAAATTCTGTGTTGAAGATATTTCTGTATAAATGATTCTTCGCTGGAATTATTTTGAGACTACTGCAGAGTTCCTTATAAAGTTCATACATTTTATGTATTGATAAATTAGGTTCCAAATATTCCCTCTTTGTTTTCGATCTACAATAGTGTGAAGGCATTTTTAGGAAAGATTTAATGTATCAGACTGTTAAAAAAAAAACCATTGAACACGCCTACTACTTATATCCAATGTACTTAAGTAAAATTCTTTACACACCCTTATATTTTTTAAAGATGCAGTCAAATGATACTCAAAAGAATATTTTTTTCTTGAACTTTCATTTTTTGTCCTTTTTCTTTGTTTTTCTTTTTTTACTATAGTTTTAGAATAGAACATTTTCTTCTGTCCATCATCTAAAGACCAAAAATGATCAAAAATTTCCTTCCTCTCTTTTTCAGAAAAATGTGTTTTACATTTAAATCGGCACTGGCCTTTACAATCACCTTTGATTGTTTTACTTTTATCCTTTTTCCCCTTTACATCAATGTAATCTTTTCCAGACTGTCTCTTTTTTTTTCTTACATTTTGTTTCCAAATTTCTGTTTTTTTTACTCTTTTTCTACCTCTGGGCTCATTGTTTTCTGTTGTCGAAAGAGCAGAGTCATTAGAATCTGCACTTTCAACAACAGTATCTACCATGCATTTAATAATATCATTAACTTCATTTTTCAAAGTTAAGTTTTCATTTAACATATCAACATTTTCAAAGGGAAGAGAGTTATTCAAATCAAAACTGTTTTGTTCACAGTCATCATGTCATATAACAACAGTTGTGTCAGTATCTGTACTTTGTAGAAGAGATGCAAGTTCATCATCATTGGACAGTTGTACAAATTCAACATCTGTATTAAGTTCTAAATCAGACATGGTGAGGAATTATCAAATCAAATAAAAATTGAAATCCAGGTGATGAGTAAATACATGTATGATCTCAACTATAAAAGTCCAGTTTATAAACTCGTGGTGTTAAATCGGTGTACTGAGTGTGTACCATCACATAAAAGTGATCCTTATTTACATGTGGAGCTAAACTTAAATATATATATGGTTCAATGTTCTATAGCAGGATTCAACAATGTTTTTAAAATCTTCTTCAGTCAGCCCTATTCCATATATCTCTAGGACTGTGAGATCAGGTTTATTTTGGACGATTTGGGTTATGCATTCTACTGATATAAAGTTGAAAGACAGGTATATTGAGTCTAACTTGGGGAGTGTTGAAATAATACGGAAGTCCGCATCACATAGGTTCTGACATTCAGTAAGGTTGATGTACTCTAGGTTTGGTAGGAATTTTAGGGAACATAGTGATGATAATGAACATTGAGATAAGTTCAATTCTGTTAATCTGGTTGATCTACTGTTGAGTCCTATGGCAAAGTTGTAATCAAGACTGGCAATATCACCATAGTATGTTGCATAGGCGAACTCAAATTCTCGAAATTGTTGTGAAAATCGGAAAATGTACTCTAGGTCTTTTTCATCTACATAAATAGGACTAAAGAAAGTGAGATTCCTCCATAGACTTTGTGTATATTTAATGATATTATAAAGCCTTTTGCACGTCCTGTTAACGTAGCATAGGAGGTCTTCTAATTCAATATAGGACAGAATGTGTATTAAAGGCAGATCAGGAAGATCAATCAGCTGAAAACTGAAAAAAAAAATGTAAACTTTTACTATTTGGATCAAATTGAAATAAGAACAGTAACTTTATTTCATATATTTTGAGGAAAACTTTTGATGTGTGTCAGCACATTGTTTAAGTTCTGGATTTCTAGCTTCAATATGCATGTATGATCAAGTATTGTAACAAAATACAGATGCATCAAACAGCATGTATTTTTCTTTTCAATATTTTTGTATGTCATGTTTAGTGACCATATAATTAGCACATGGTCAGATTCTGTTCAGAATTATACTGTCCTATCTCCATCATGTGTGGCTTTTAATTAAGAAATATCCAGGATTTATTTGTCATTTGAAAAAAATAAATGGTTAGACAAAGTAAAAGTGTAAGCATGAATCTATAAAATTCAATAGATTGGTTCTAAAAACTCACTTTCTAAACTTAATTGCTATACTAGTGTACATACATATCAGCAATGCTGTTCATTTTGCCCTCCATGCTTAACTTTTATCACATAGTATGTTAGTTCCAATATGATTGGCTATGGACATACAACAGTATAAGATTAAAGTTGAATCAAGGCATTGGACATATAACAGTATAATATTGTTAATAAAACTGTTTTAAGCTGCTTTTAGAATTATATGCAAGGTATAGGAGATATACCATTGTAGGTACAAGTCTTTCAAACCTTAAACTCATATTAAGCAGAAATTGGCCATATAACAGTATAATTCTCATGGCACGAAGTGTGTCTAAAAAATTGAAATATGAATACTTACAGTAGGTGTACAGTTCATACTGATACTGATCTGTTATTGACTGCAAGACTAATCACTAAATTATGTTACGTGTTTCAAATTTTTTTTCATCAAGCTAATAATGAATTATTAGGTCCGATCGCTTGATAAATCGACAAAATGTTTATATGTTGTTCGTATTCTTTCTTCAAACGGTAAGCGTTTTGAAAAAAAAACATATATGTATGATTAACATAAATATGAATTAATCAAATAATGTCCTATGATATATAAAATCATATGAATTTAATAGATATTTGATCTAATCTACTTAGCTGAAATCGACATCTTATTTATGCCAAACAATTGATTACACGTTGACCAATACTGCTTTCACATCACTGAACGATGACTGCTGAAGTTTTGTGCTTAACGATTTACATTCGAATTCAAGATCATAATAGCAGATATATTTTATTTTTGGAAATTTGGAAATATATGATTTTATAATATTTGATTTGCGCGCTTCTTGCTGAATGTGATTTGTTATTTTCTGTCATTTCGAAATAGCATTGAATTCTTAATAATATATAACAAGGCTAAAAGAAAGGACCGAACATATAGAACAGCTTAAAAGACTAAATCATACTTAGATACTTGTCATTCGTTGTTAAAAGATTGTAAACTTTAAAGAATTCTTAGATGTGAAATTGTAATTAGAGTTTTGGAGCAGTACACTATATATTTAAGGGATATTTAGGGAATTTAGAATTATGTAATAATGAATTTGATGTTTGCATGCTTTGAAATTCTATTGATTAATATTGTATCTTAGGAGAAGAAGGTATAAGTTGGACCAGCTTGTGTCTAATTCTTTTTGCGATATTTTCCAAACAAAATATGTTTAAACTACATAGAGAAAAAGGTATATATGTCTGCCTCTTGGCGCTAACATGTGCCATTTATCTTAATATTTCTCGACTTTCCTCGTTGGATTTCAAGCTTTGTTTCATTATATATGATTATTTATATATAACTCATACATCATTCTAGAAATGCAATATCGTTCGACTATATATTTCTATTCTAAAACTTGTCTTTATTCAAGACACTCAAATATTTATCCGTAAGTACAAAAGAAACATATATTTTTACAAAGAAGAATATTGTGTACTGTCATATCACCTCCTGTCTTCCATTTCGATTAACTCATGATTAATTTATTTTATAATATATGCAAGTCTTTTATTTTGACAGTTCTGGATGTCTGTTTTACTTCCTACTAGAAAATATTTCTACATTTTGAATGCTGGGGGTTCCACTTGAATGGATGAATTGATAGTCAAAATTACCCACCAGTGGCATAAATCAAAACAAATCATTGATTGCTTGATAGATTGGTGTCTTACGGCACTTTCAGCACAATTGTGGCGGTCAGATTTAATTGATGGAGGAAGCCGGAGTGCACGGAGAGGATCACCGACCTTTGGTAGGAAAACTGATAATCCTAGTCAACTAAGATTGTCAGTGATGACAGGCTAGTGATACAGTCGTTTGACTACTATGGCCACTTGGCCACCGCGGTCCCAAAAAAAAACATTAGCCTTACCAATTTTATGTATTGAATATCCGTTTTCAGAATAAAATTAAAAGTAATATAAAATGATTATAATGATAATAATAACTTAACTTTCGATGTTTTCCTTTAGAATTCAGGACAAAAATAGCTTAATAAAAATATAATCAATGTTGTCACGATCAAAATGTGTAATACTTTAGAAATTGTATATCTTATATACGAATCAAACTTACAACTTATTTTTTCTATTAACAGAAATGAGATCAAACCATTAAAACAATTACCACTGTGACCTTGATAAACAGAAATTCTCCATTCACCTCCACAAATTTGTCGTTCGTTGCCAGCACAAGTTATGTTACATTCTTCTTCGGGTCTCTTTTCGTAAACATCTGGATCTCCCAAAGAATTCCCACAATAACATTCGAAATGAAACTGAAATATATAATAACAACAAAAGGCAAATTATTTTAACATCGGTATACTACTCTTGACATTGTCCTAATTTTCACCATGAACGAAGTTAACTATGTTGATTCTGCCAAAAATGTGTTTTAATTTTTTTATACAATATCAGTAGACATTATACCATCTAGTATCCCTCAAAATATTTCAAATACTTCATACCCGAGAACGGAACTGATTTACCTAACCCCAAAAAATCAAATATTCAAGATTCCAATAACTAAATAAGACACCGAACCCATAACTTTAAATAATAACAAGGCTAATGATTAAAGAAATTTAATCCCACATGACATTCAAAATTAAGCCGTTGCAAGCATTGCACAGTTTTAACATCCCCACAGAAGGACCCCCCGTGCAGTAGCACGAAAATGCATATGTTGAAATACAAAATTAATCGCATATTCATAATTGAATCCTTTCTGGTTTTTTTTTTTTTTTTTTAATTCCAAAAGCAATACAGCTTATATGTATCAGTATAGTCTATAGAATATAGAATCGTAGATTCCTACTATATTTAAAATGTTAACCCTAGGAAGAGTCATAACGATGTAAATGACTTTTAAGGAATAGTTTATACAAAGAATACATCTGACCTGAAGACCAAAGTACGCATATCCCTCACAAATTCCTTGGCACATTTCTATGTTCATCAATTGATGATTGTGTAGGTTGTCAAGGATACGGTTTGTATCATCTTTATAGCATCCCAAATAATCTGCTAACATTTCCTCTGAAGAAATACAATTTCAGTGAAAGCAGGCTTTTTGTCATATGATATATTCCCAAGTTAAAATGCCGATTTAATGTAATGCTTAATACTAAATAGATGTATGTTGGTTATCTTTATGCAAACAAATTCATGTACATAACAGGAATAATGAACCATATCTTTATGAGCAAAATAGATTCAAACAGAACAGTGGAACAATGACTCGTTACAGAAGAAGACAGAGTCCTCAAATAACTGGTCACATCTTTCTATAATAAGATTTATAGGCAAAACAACAGATTGGTCTATTACGTGACAATTCATTTTCATATATCTCTATGTATGGCCCTATCGCTTATATTATTCATTATTATCTATGTACTCAAAGTATACCTTTCTCGAAATGAAAGATTTCCGATCATCATTAGTATTGTTAAATTTATTTTTAATAATTATTTGGATTAACCAATATTTAAAACGACATGTCATTAATAACTGCATGAACCAATTTGTTTGCGTCTTTCATGTTTACAATGGTTTCTGGGGAATTACCCACACATAGAACCGAATGACAAATAAAAGCAGAAGATGTTAACACTTGTCTCACTCTGTTCTACGTGTAAGCGATTCCAATTGTTTTTATTCCCATATTTGTCTTTAAATATAGTTGGATATTTACATTAACGGTGGTATACTACTATGCTTTATACAATTCATATACGGTAATTTTAATCGGTTTAATTTTGGCTGTTCTTTGTGAATTTTGGTTATACGTCCATCCATTACTCATGCTTGTATATATATATATATATATATACACTATATATTTACTAACGAAAGCTTTATTTTATATAGCCTAGTTGGCCGAGTGGTCTATGGCGCTGGATATAGTGCATGAGGTGTTACCAAGATGTCACAGAAGCAGGGGTTCCGATCCCGCTGAGGAAAGAACAAAATATTTGCTAACATTGTTGGACTAAATTTGAGACAAAGCATATATATTTTATATAAATATAAATATAATATACATATTTGATTACTCACTATACTTGTCAGTTTAAAACGTTCGCACGAGCTTATGTTTCATTGAGATTCTATGGACTGACTTATAAATACATTAGGAGTCTTACATTAGCAAAATCACTTTGCCTTTCTAAAGGATTAAATCTTAATAAAAAAGGGTTTTTGAAAAATAATTTGATTAGGTTTTTAAAATAATACAAGGTTAAAGTTTCTTCAAAATCTTTTATATCTCTCAAAGAAACAAATCTTAAAAAGTTTTACAATTAAACATAAAATAATCCTATAGATTTCCTATTCATCAGATGAGGAACATTAATTACTAATACGATATAGTTTTAAGTAATTACTAACAGATCCTATCAAATATTGCAGTTAAATGACACTTAAGTGCACGGAAGCATTTCTTTTACATAGTATCTATCAGCGTTGCTAAAAAATTGCAAAATGTTGCAATTTTAGCAAATCTTTGTCATAGGGTAGAAAACCCTTAGTGAACACAAAACCACAGACATGATCAATTCAATTATATCTCATGTCGTCACAGGAGTGATAACTTCAGAAAACTTCAAAGTAAATTTGTTCTGCAAATGGGTTTTGCAAATGTATAATTCTTGAATAAAACAAAACATTATAGAGAACATATATTAGATAAATAAGAAAGCGTATCGTATACAAACTAAATAGTATTGAAAAATGCAGTTTGCCATGGAAATAAAAATTCAACCGCAACCAACTCTTAAGAAAGTCTTCTTTAAAATATCATAATCTTAAATGTTGACTTACAGATTTTCTATTCATCAGATGAAGAAAATTAAATGTTCGTTTGGACAAAATTATCTCTGTAGGTAAAAACTCATAACTTCAGTGCTCGTGGTAGGTATTTACATACCTTCAATACACTCCAATGCAGCATCACCTTGATTTTCACACCTTATATCAATATGATCTCCACTTTGTCCTTGGCAGAGATCGATCGAGTCTTCGTGACCTTCGCAATTTAGCAAATAACTTTGTCTTTTAAAATCTTCCAAATGAGGTAACATATAGGCAACACCTTTACCGGGTTTGTTCAGAAATCTACATGCTACAGATGCATCATTGTCATCCCAGTCAAGCAGACATACAGAGTAGGTACCAGTCGGTTGGTGAATCAATAACCTACCCTCATCATTAAGACTTAATTCTAAAAGAGTAATAGATAAGAAGAATTTGTGATTGTTTTTTCATATAATGTTGCAGATGTTATTCCTTTAAAAAAAATTTTAAACTGTTGGTTACAAATTTCGGCTTTCAGCAATAGATCTCTCTCTCTCTCTCTCTCTCTCCTTTCTGAGACAATTACACATGATGCGTCCATTTAAAGGAATATTTCTGTTTTTTGTTATAAACACTTACCCATGTCACAATGTTCTCCAACAAACGGACTAATACAATGACAGTAATATGAAGAATCATACTGAAAGCAACTTCCTCCATTTTCACACGGGTGGTTATCGCACAAATCGTTGATGTCTTCTGCAATAAATACAAAATCTTAAATTTTTTCACTGTTTTTTTTTTTAAATGTTATTAAGATATATTTTTATGTAATTTCTACAGATCCTATCAAATATACCAGACTGACACTTAAGTACACAGAAGCATTTCTTTTACATAGTATCTATCAGCGGTGCTAAAAAATTGCAAAATGTTGCAATTTTAGCAAATCTTTGTCATAGGGTAGAAAACCCTTAGTGAACACAAAATCACAGACATGATCAATTCAATTATATCTCATGTCGTCACAGGAGTGATAACTTCAGAAAACTTCAAAGTAAATTTGTTCTGCAAATGGGTGTTGCAAATGTATAATTCTTGAATAAAACAAAACATTATAGAGAACATATATTAGATAAATAAGAAAGCGTATCGTATACAAACTAAATAGTATTGAAAAATGCAGTTTGCCATGGAAATAAAAATTCAACCGCAACCAACTCTTGAGAAAGTGTTCTTTAAAATATCATAATCCTAAATGTTACAGATTTCATATTCATCAGATGAGGAAAATTAAATGTTCGTTTGAACAAAATTATCTCTGAAGGTAAAACTAATAGCATCAATGCTCGTGGTAGGTATTTACATACCTTCAATACACTCCAGTGCAGCATCACCTTGATCTTCACACCTTATATCAATATGATCTCCACTTTGTCCTTGGCAGAGATCGATCGAGTCTTCGTGACCTTCGCAATTTAGCAAATAACTTTGTCTTTTAAAATCTTCCAAATGAGGTAACGTATAGGCAACACCTTTACCGGGTTTGTTCAGAAATCTACATGCTACAGATGCATCATTGTCATCCCAGTCAAGCAGGCATACAGAGTAGGTACCAGTCGGTTGGTGAATCAATAACCTACCCTCATCATTGAGACCTAATTCTAAAAGAGTAATTGATAAGAAGAATTTGTGATTGTTTTTCATATAATGTTGCAGATGTTATTCCTTTCATAATTTTTCAAACTGTTGGTTACAAATTTGGGTTTTCAGCAATAGATCTCTCTCTCTCTCTCTCTCTCTCTCTCTCTCTCTCTCTCTCTCTCTCTCTCCTTTCTGAGACAATTACACATGATGCGTCCATTAAAAGGAATATTTCTTGTTTTTTATTTATAAACACTTACCCATGTCACAATGTTCTCCAACAAACGGACTAATACAATGACAGTAATATGAAGCATCATACTGATAGCAACTTCCTCCATTCTCACACGTGTGGTTATCGCACAAATCGTTGATGTCTTCTGCAATAAATACAAAATCTTAAATTCTTTCACTGTTTTTTTTTTGTTTCTTTTCAATGTTTTTAAGATATAGATTTATGTAATTACTAACAGATCCTGTCAAATATACCGGACTGACACTTAAGTACACAGAAGCATTTCTTTTACATAACATCTACATGATCTATCAGCGGAACTCGAACCAGAACAGTTAGATACCCATTTCGAAGTCAAAATGCTTAAAATTTCCAAATGTTGCAGTTTTGGCAAATCTTTGTCATAGGGTAGAAAACCCTTAGTGAACACAAAATCACAGAAATGATCAAATCAATTATATCTTATGTCGTCGCAGGAGTGATTACTTCAAAAACTTCAAAGTAAATTTGTTCTGCAAATGGGTGTTGCAAATGTATAATTCTTGAATAAAACAAAACATTATAGAGAACATATATTAGATAAATAAGAAAGCGTATCGTATACAAACTAAATAGTATTGAAAAATGCAGTTTGCTATGGCAATAAAATTTCAACCGCAACCAACTCTTGAGAAAGTGTTCTTTAAAATATCATAATCTTAAATGTAACAGGTTTCATATTCATCAGATGAGGAAAATTAAATGTTCGTTTGGACAACATTATCTCTGTAGGTAAAACTAATAGCATCAATGCTCGTGGTAGGTATTTACATACCTTCAATACACTCCAGTGCAGCATCACCTTGATCTTCACACCTTATATCAATATGATCTCCACTTTGTCCTTGGCAGAGATCGATCGAGTCTTCGTGACCTTCGCAATTTAGCAAATAACTTTGTCTTTTAAAATCTTCCAAATGAGGTAACGTATAGGCAACACCTTTACCGGGTTTGTTCAGAAATCTACATGCTACAGATGCATCATTGTCATCCCAGTCAAGCAGGCATACAGAGTAGGTACCAGTCGGTTGGTGAATCAATAACCTACCCTCATCATTAAAACTTAATTCTAAAAGAGTAATAGATAAGAAGAATTTGTGATTGTTTTTTCATATAATGTTGCAGATGTTATTCCTTTAAAAATATTTCAAACTGTTTGTTACAAATTTCGGCTTTCAGCAATAGCTCTCTCTCTCTCTCTCTCTCTCTCTCTCTCTCTCTCTCTCTCTCTCTCTCCTTTCTGAGACAATTACACATGATGCGTCTATTTAATTGAATATTTCTGGGTTTTTTTATAAACACTTACCCATGTCACAATGTTCTCCAACAAACGGACTAATACATTGACAGTAATATGAAGAATCATACTGAAAGCAACTTCCTCCATTTTCACACGGGTGGTTATCGCACAAATCGTTGATGTCTTCTGCAATAAATACAAAATCTTAAATTTTTTCACTGTTTTGGGGTTTTTTTTCAAAGTTATTAAGATATAGTTTTATGTAATTACTAACAGATCCTATCAAATATACCAGACTGACACTCATAGTATCTATCAGCGGTGCTAAAAAATTGCAAAATGTTGCAATTTTAGTAAATCTTTGTCATAGGGTAGAAAACCCTTAGTGAACACAAAATCACAGACATGATCAATTCAATTATATCTCATGTCGTCACAGGAGTGATTACTTCAGAAAACTTCAAAGTAAATTTGTTCTGCAAATGGGTGTTGCAAATGTATAATTCTTGAATAAAACAAAACATTATAGAGAACATATATTAGATAAATAAGAAAGCGTATCGTATACAAACTAAATAGTATTGAAAAATGCAGTTTGCCATGGAAATAAAAATTCAACCGCAACCAACTCTTGAGAAAGTGTTCTTTAAAATATCATAATCCTAAATGTAACAGGTTTCATATTCATCAGATGAGGAAAATTAAATGTTCGCTTGGACAAAATTATCTCTGTAGGTAAAACTCATAGCATCAATGCTCGCGGTAGGTATTTACATACCTTCAATACACTCCAGTGCAGCATCACCTTGATCTTCACACCTTATATCAATATCATCTCCACTTTGTCCTTGGCAGAGATCGATCGAGTCTTCGTGACCTTCGCAATTTAGCAAATAACTTTGTCTTTTAAAATCTTCCAAATGAGGTAACGTATAGGCAACACCTTTACCGGGTTTGTTCAGAAATCTACATGCTACAGATGCATCATTGTCATCCCAGTCAAGCAGACATACAGAGTAGGTACCAGTCGGTTGGTGAATCAATAACCTACCCTCATCATTAAGACTTAATTCTAAAAGAGTAATAGATAAGAAGAATTTGTGATTGTTTTTTCATATAATGTTGCAGATGTTATTCCTTTAAAAAAATTTCAAACTGTTGGTTACAAATTTCGGCTTTCAGCAATAGCTCTCTCTCTCTCTCTCTCTCTCTCTCTCTCTCTCTCTCTCCTTTCTGAGACAATTACACATATTTTTTATAAACACTTACCCACGTCACAATGTTCTCCAACAAACGGACTAATACAATGACAGTAATATGAAGAATCATACTGAAAGCAACTTCCTCCATTTTCACACGGGTGGTTATCGCACAATTCGTTGAAGTCTTCTGCAATAAATACAAAATCTTATATTCTTTCACTGTTTTTTTTTTTAAATGTTATTAAGCGTATCGTATACAAACTAAATAGTATTGAAAAATGCAGTTTGCCATGGAAATAAAAATTCAACCGCAACCAACTCTTGAGAAAGTGTTCTTTACAATATCATAATCCTAAATGTTACAGATTTCATATTCATCAGATGAGGAAAATTAAATGTTCGCTTGGACAAAATTATCTCTGTAGGTAAAACTCATAGCATCAATGCTCGCGGTAGGTATTTACATACCTTCAATACACTCCAGTGCAGCATCACCTTGATCTTCACACCTAATATCAATATGATCTCCACTTTGTCCTTGGCAGAGATCGATCGAGTCTTCGTGACCTTCGCAATTTAGAAAATAACTTTGTCTTTTAAAATCTTCCAAATGAGGTAACGTATAGGCAACACCTTTACCGGGTTTGTTCAGAAATCTACATGCTACAGATGCATCGTTGTCATCCCAGTCAAGCAGGCATACAGAGTAGGTACCAGTCGGTTGGTGAATCAATAACCTACCCTCATCATTAAGACCTAATTCTAAAAGAGTAATTGATAAGAAGAATTTGTGATTGTTTTTCATATAATGTTGCAGATGTTATTCCTTTCATAATTTTTCAAACTAGTGGTTACAAATTTGGGTTTTCAGCAATAGATCTCTCTCTCTCTCTCTCTCTCTCTCTCTCTCTCTCTCTCTCTCTCTCTCTCTCCTTTTTGTGACAATTACACATGATGCGTCCATTTAAGTGAATATTTCTGGGTTTTTTTTATAAACACTTACCCATGTCGCAATGTTCTCCAACAAACGGACTAATACAATGACAGTAATATGAAGAATCATACTGAAAGCAACTTCCTCCACTTTCACACGGGTGGTTATCGCACAAATTGTTGATGTCTTCTGCAATAAATACAAAATCTTAAATTCTTTCACTGTTTTTGGTTTATTTTTTTTCTCAATGTTATTAAGATATATTTTTATGTAATTACTAACAGATCCTATCAAATATACCAGAATGACACTTAAGTACACAGAAGCATTTCTTTTGCATAACATCTACATGATCTATCAGTGGTGCTTGAACCAGAACAGTTGGATACCCATTTCGAAGTCTAAATGCTTAAAAATTCCAAAATGTTGCAGTTTTGGCAAATCTTTGTCATAGGGTAGAAAAACCTTAGTGAACATAAAATCACAGAAATGATCAAACTAATTAGATCTTATGTCAGCACAAGAGTGATGACTACTTGGATAGTGATACTATCGGGAATGGAACGTCCACCAGTAGTGGCATCGAATCTTTTGTTTTAAAAACTCACTAAAGAATAAAACAATATGCTCAATAAGGTATTAGAAATCGAATCATAAAAGTCTGAACATAGCAATAGTAACATAAACTTGATTAAATGAAATTCATGCATCCTCTCTGTCAAACTGTGCCCGAAAGACAACATTAAATCTACCCTTCGGGAAGAAAATGCCATTCACCTCATTTTGGCTTCACATGAATTGATTTATATAGTTTAGAATTGAATATGCCTGTATGTAAAGCATGTTAGTGCATAGAAAAGAAAAATGAGAACCTTCTTGTTACTTGCATCTGTCACTGAAAAGGATACATTATTACGATCATTGTTTGCATTATTTGCAGCTTGCAAGGTATTTTTCTCAATAACTTTTATATTTCTGGATGTTTAGATTTATTAAGAAGTGTATCAAATAATTCTGAATAATATTTAGCATACATTGATTAAACTGTTTTGTAAAGAAACTGATCTGAACCTAACAGATACCAACATGCAAGAGGATGTAATTATGGAATCAAAGTTTCAAATATTTTAATATAGGGTAAATTTATTTAAATATGCTGTATTGATACACTAACCTGCATTATTCATCTAACGCTATTTGCCGACTGGTATTTTGCTTACTGTGTAAATGTGTGGGTCTACACCTTGTATAGGAATCTTGGATTTTGATTGGTTGATATCTAGACAGTGTATTTTCATTTAATTTCTTTTATCAGATGAATCTTGGAGTTGGAGTTTTCAGTCACGATTTGTTGTGCAAGAAATGTTTTGTAATAATTATTTTTCATTTTGCGTATAATTTTTATTTGTTGGTTTTTATGTACTATCATTATTATTTCTTTTTCTATTAGGGGGTCATGCTACTATCTGTTGTTCTCTAGTTTGCAGTTTCTAATTGACACTAGATATCGTCGAATGTTCCTTATAAACTCTTACTCTTTTCACAGTTATCACCAAAATACGGTAAGAGGCATTCGCAGTAGTGCGAGTGATCATCTGCAATGCATTTTCCTCTATTCTTACACGGATTGCCATTGCAAAAACCACTGACTGGCTCTGAAAATAAACATGACTATTTGTGATTTGTTTGGTTCGCGTCTTTCTTTTTCTTGTTAAAGAAATAAAAGATGTAAAACATATTTTGATGGGTTTAAAAGTTTATCAAATCTGGGACTATTACACTAATATTAAACTAGTATAATAGTCCCAGATCAAATGTTATATAATAATCATGTCCATGGTCCTGACATGAGTACATGGATTCTGTTCAACTGAACCCTTTTTTTTTGGTCATCGTTTTCAATTTCAAATTAAAAATTAAAAAAAATGACTACGGCCGAATCTAAATCTTTTAAAATGAAAATGAACATGATTAAAAACATTTAACAGAAGATTCATTATTGGAACCTATAGAGGTGAAATTTGCCTTTGAAATTGGCGTTTTGTATTTGTTCGTCTAAAATTTGAAGTTTGGAAACATCCCAATTGCAATTTCAAAAAAAAATATACTAGAAGTAAGTTGGATCTTCCATCCTTTTGGTAGTTTTAAGTCAGATCGATCAATAAGACATTTGCTTTACACGTACAGGGAAATTTCATTCACATCAATTTCATGTGAATTTAAATTCATGTGAATCTCACGTGAAATTCACATGAATTTCACCTCAAACGAGCTGATACGTAAAACTCATGTGAAATCAGTTCATGTGAGTTTCACGTGTATCTCATGTGAAACTCGTGTGAATTTCATGTGAAAATCAAATCATTTTTTTCACGTGAAATTCACGTGAATTTTTAAAATAAAGTTATTCAAATAACATCTAAATTTTCAAATTTAATTAAAATCATGAAATATACCAATTTTTTTTTTGTAAAGTTCACATGAAATTTACATGAGATTCTAGTGAATCTCAATCCACGTGAAATTCACATGAAAATTTTCACGTGAGTTTCATGTATACGCTCGTTTGATGTGAATCTCACGTGAAATTTTTCACATGAATTTCATGCGAAATTCATGTGAAACTCACGTGAGCAAATTTTGCCTGTGTATCCGGAAAATAAATATGTGTGATGCATATCTTTGTTCGCTCAGTAAATATTATTTAGCAATGTTTATGCTCTCAATTACACATTACCTTCAGCAGCAGTAACAGAGAGCCATATCCAGATTACAGACAGTACCCACATCTAAAATAGTCATTATGATAGCAGTGTTATTTGATATAGCACATGACACTATTTGAGACGAACTAGTTTTAATTCCAAATTCCAAATGTTTACAAACAATTTGTAAAATTTCATGTTAAGGTTCCATAATTCGACTAGTGTAAAT